TATATATATATATATATATACACACACACACACACATATATATATACATACATACATATATATATGCGGCGTGTGCTTGTGCTTTAGGGTGCACACCCTAATGCAATAGGCTGCGCACGCCTATGCCCCCAGGTAACTAACTAAAATGTTTAGGCTAAGTAATCATGCAATGTTATCATCGATTTCCACATTTTTTATTTATTTTCATGTATAGCACTTTTAATTTAAAAAAAGAAATACTAGTCTAGCATGGGGCATGTAATGCTATGTATTATGTAAAAATTAGAACATAGAAACCCTTATTAAATATGTTGGCACAAATTATCTGTAAGTATGGCGACTAAAAGAACTTGCAGTTGGCCCAAAGTATGCAACTCTAAAAGCCAGTTACAGAAACTCCCCTTCTGTATAGGTAGAAATTAGCAGCATCCCTTCATTCCAATACAAAATCCTTTAATGCATTCTCAAATAGTGCCAAAACCCGGAGTTAAACACAAACAGACCAAAAAAGCCTTTGAATGTGTTTAATGTGTAAAAACGCACGTAAGCATAGACCTTCTAACGCATTTCTAGTATATGGACGGACATAATCGTTGCTCAAAATCTGCACACATGTAAGTGCAGTCAGTTAACATGGTCTCTGATAGGAATACCAGGTAAACTTCTCTTTATTATTGAGGCTAGAGGCTTCATTTTTATTTAAAGGTAAACTATAGTGCCAAGAAAACAAAGTTGTTTTCCTGGCACTAAAGCTCCCTATAGTGCCCAACACGTCCCCTGCGGTGAAAAAGGGGTTAAAAACCCCTGCTGTCACCTACCTGGGTCCAGCGTCGATGTCCCTCGGTGCTGGCTTGGGTCCGCCCTCGTTCATCACCTGCTGACCTCAGCTGGCAGGGGAGACCTAATGCGCATGCGTGGCAATGGCCGCGTTCGCATTATGATTTCCCCATAGGAAAGCATTATACAATGCTTTCCTATGGGGATTCCGGTGACGCTGGATGTCCTTATACATAGCGTAAGGACACCCAGCGTCAAGTGACCTTAAGTTTGATAAAAATTTATTTAAAAAAATGCAATAATTAGCTTTTGCAGGGACCTGAGACACTGCACCCAGGCCACTTCAATGAGCTGAAGTGGTCAAGATGGCTAAAGTGTCCCCTCAAATAATGCATCAAACATGATCGATAATAGGCACAAGTATTAGAGTTCCAGTCACTATCAAAACCCCAGTCTGCCCATTTAACTATCATTACAGCAGTGCCACAACTATACATTGATGCCACCCAGAGATGTGGTGATATCTAATAGCGGATGTTTATCAAGACTCGCAGGAGCACCTTTGAGGGAACACCAATAGAAAAGTGGAGGGTTTTTTTTCTTGTAAATATATACCTCATGTTTTAAATCACTGTATTCTTGTGTATGACTCACTAAGTAACACATCATATGCTAAATAAGAGCAGGAGGTGCAGTTTACAGAAATAGAGCTGCGTCAAATTCCAGGGCTGAAGTCCAGTGCCCCATCTTCCTAAGATGCAAACAGCCACCACTGCTCACGTATAATGGCACAGCTAAATCTGTCTTCATATAATCATGCTGTAATCAAAATATCACTAACGACACAGTTTCACAATTTTGAATTGCTCATCGAGTGTTGTAATATTTTTAAAATCACTTATGCGGGTTCTGATCAGGTTTTGTTTTCTTTGAAACTAGTAGATGATATAGAGTACATAAAAGTATTAAAAAAAATGCAGATATGAAAAGCTCAGTGGTTAATATGACTGCTGTGCAAATATGAGCCCCTTTTTTCAGAGGTTAATTAAATGAGCACGTTATGTGCTGGACCAGAGCTTTGAGAAAGTACTAATTGAATAGCTTTTGTTGCATTGTATGTGACTCACTGGTAATGCATTTTTATGCCTCACAAGTAGCAAAACTCAGTATGAACGTACAGATAATAACACTAAGATAAGGATTCTAGTATTTTTTGTAAAATATATCAAGGAAAAATAATTATTTTGAATAAATGGAAAAACTGTTTTGTATTGTCAGAAATCTAGTCCAGAAATAAAGCAGCACTATCACTATCTGAGGACTTTGCCGAATTTGCAAAGATCGCCAATTGTAACCTGGGGGAGGCAGGTAAGATGTACTTACCTGGACCGGTCCATAGCGGGCTCCGCAATCTTTCTCAGTCTGCTCCTCTTCAACTCCTGGCGCTTCAACGTCACTGCTGTTCAATTTTAGTAAACTTTCAACAGAGTCAAAATAAGTATTTCATAAAGATTGTATCTTTATTAAATACTCTTTTTTTATTTTCAGGGGGAGGGGAGGGTGTGCATCTTATTGAAGTGGACTGGGTGTAGTATCCCTATTCCCCTTAGTCTTGCAATGTAAATCATTGCAATTTTAGAGAACCCGCAATGTTTACATTGCAGTACTAAGATTGCCTCCACCAGACAGCCACTAAAGGCGCTTCAGGGAGTTTGACTCTGTGAAACAACAGTGGACGTTTTCACGCTCTGCATGGGGAAGGCGTGTATACATAAGGTCCCCAAATAGGTTAATGTTGGAGGAGGCGGACCTCAGCACTAGAATCAAGTAAGTGAATAAAGCATTATTTAACCCGTTACTACACTGGGGGAGGGGGCTTAAGAACATGTTTGTCAGGAATACATCTATGTATTCTTAACACTAAAGTGTTATTTTAAGGATTCCTCTCTCAAGGGACCATAAAGATCCACGATGAGTCAAAATATTGATGGAAAGACATGATAATGGTCGGAAACATGTTGGATAAGACCTGTGAGTGCATTCTTCTTTCCTAATATGTTATACTTATGGTGCTTGAATGAAACAGAAAGTTTGAGTTCTGAGCTATATACGATGAATGTAAATGCACAAACACACACACCTTATATTGCTCAGCAGTATAGAGTGCTTTGAGCAAAAGAGAGTCCCCCAATGGCTAACCAAGCGTACACTTATTGAAGCATACCAGAGCACTTCCCACCTCTCCAACAAGGACTATCAACCTAAAAATACCAAACCTACCACATATAATCCCGTGCCCTCCACTAAAATTGGCACCCTTAGCAAATATGAACAAAGCAGGCTGTGACAAAAGTGTCTGTTTAACCTCTTGTTAAGAAAATTATACAAAAACACCATGCCCTCATGGATATCAAACAACTCCCTTTGCCAAGGTAATAGCTCAGTTTTCTCCTATAATGCCTGATGAGGTTAGAGAATGGCAAGGGAACTGACAGCATTCCTCCATACAGAATCTCTTGAGGTTGACACTGATGGATTTTCCTTTTTAGTTCAAGTCAGGGGACTGGCCATGACAGAACCGTGATTTTGTAGTCAGTTAACTATTTGTGTTGATTTTGATGTATATTTTGGATCATTGACCTGCTAAAACATACAGCCACAACCCATTTTAAGTTTTCTGTTACAGGCAGGTGTTCATTTATCTGTTGATCTGTTGATATTTGATATATCTGTTGTATCCTAACAAAATGTCCATGCCCTCTAGCAGAAAAACAGCCCCAAAACATTAAAGAGCCAACACCATATTAAACACTGGGCATGAGGTACTTTTTCATATGACTACCTCTCGATGTGATCTAAACCCACCTCTGGTGCTTATTGCCAAGAAGCTCTATTTTGGTTTCATTTGACCATGGAACTTGACCCTTTTTGAAGTTCCACTAGTGTATGGCAAACTGAAGATACTTAGGTTTGTTTTTGGATGAGAGTAAAGGCTTCTTTTTCTTGAAACCCCAAGACGCAACTAACCTCTGCAGTTTTCCCAACTGGGATACTTGCATATTTCTTTGGCCACTTGAACCATTCTCTTCACAGTGCGCTGAGACAATATAGACACACATCCTCTTTCAGTTTGATTTATAACATTTTAAAGGACCACTATAGTGCCAGGAAAACATATTCGTTTTCCTGGCACTATAGTGCCCTGAGGGTGCCCCCACCCTCAGGGTCTCCCTCCCGCCCGGCTCTGGGGAGAGGAAAGGGGTAATAACTTACCTTTTTCCAGCGCTGGGCGGAGAGCTCTCTGCCTCCTCTCCGCCTCCGTTACGCCCCGCTGGCTGAATGCGCACGCGCGGCAAGAGCTGCGCGCGCATTCAGCCGGTCTCATAGGAAAGCATTTACAATGCTTTCCTATGGACGCTGGCGTGCTCTCACTGTGATTTTCACAGTGAGAAGCACGCAAGCGCCTCTAGTGGCTGCCAATGAGACAGCCACTAGAGGATTAGGGGGAAGGCTTAACCCATTCATAATTATAGCAGTTTCTCTGAAACTGCTATAATTATGAAAAAATGGGTTAACCCTAGAAGGACCTGGCACCCAGACCAGTTCATTAAGCTGAAGTGGTCTGGGTGCCTAGAGTGGTCCTTTAAGTTAACCGGAACTTTTTAATTATGGTCCTGATGGTGGAAATGGGCATTTTCAATGGTTTTGCTATTTTCTTGTAGCCACTTCCCTGTTTTATGAAGCTCAACAACCTTTTGCCGCACATCACAGCTATATTCCTTGGTCCTACCCATTGTGATAAATGACTAGGGGAATTTGGCCTATGTGCTACCTCATATTTAGATCACTGTGAAATAGTGTGTAATGGTTTAAGAATAGTGATGTCCCGAACGGTTTGCCACGGATGGCGAACATATGCGCAGTTCGGTCCGCCCCCTAATCGTCATCATTGTGTAAACTTTGACCCTGTACCTCACAGTCAGCAGACACATTCCAACCAATCAGCAGCAGACCCTCCCTCCCAGACAGCTCACTAAGAATGCAGCTTCACAATGAATGTAAAATGGATGCTGTCCAGGAGGTGGGAGGGTCTGGGAGGGAGGGTCTGAATGAAAATGTTTTCGCAATATGGACCATTTGGGATGTTGCAATTTTACTGCAATTCCTTCATTTGATTCTCACTGTTATCCCTTACCCATTAACTTTTGAAAACTCTGACTCTTCCCCACATCCTTTTATTCCCCTATGTTATCCATTAAGTCGATTCTCATTATGAAAAAAAAAAAAATACAAAAATAAATCTTTACTATTTCAGCTCCATGTGCAATTTTAATAAAATCACATTCATAAACACATGTGAAAAGAGAAAAAAACAAAACAAAACAATAGACAGCATTCAAACAATTGTAATAAGTACACACAAAAAAAAAAAAAAACCGAATGAATTTTCATTTACATTTTCTGTATACCAACTACCCGGTTCCAGTTTTTACATTTTCCTATACAGCATTTGAAATACATTAATATCATTTTTAAATTACATCATGGTTGTTGATTTTGTAATCCAAAAATACCAAAAGTGACATAGAAAATGTCTTTAAAGCACCACTGTCACTTGTGGAGTCTTTGCATTCTTATTTCCCGAAAGACCCCACAAAATGACATGCATTTAGATACCTCAAGCTGCCCTCATCACTGTCATCTTTCCACCACCATCATTCTTTGACTTCATGTGCCAGGAGTCGTTAAAAGACAAAAAAGTCCAACACATTTTTTCCTAATAGAGACTTTATGCCACTGTAATTCTGTTTTTGGATTAAAGCAGTAAATGTTTTTTTAACCTTATTGCTAAATCCTGCTGAGGTTCATCTGACGATAATTGGAAAAGAGGTGTTTGTAATCCACAGAGCATTAAGCCCACCAGGATATTGGAGGAGGCACCTTGGAGCTGATTATGGTCCAACAATCTCATAAATGCAAATTAGTGCAAAAAACCCGTTTAAGCAATATCACTATTTTATGTTTCCTTTCTTTTCGAAATAAACTGTAACACCTACCATCAGTATGATATTTTGGCTTTTTAAAAAACATTATGAAAGGATTTAGGGGTAATCTACCACTGTCGTTCTCATATACCACAAACACAGTTACATATTGTTATAATATACTTTGTTTGCTAAGATATACTTTTATTGTTTGGTGTGGTCTTTGTGTAACATTGAGTAACATTCAAAGCCTAGCTAGTGAAATTTGAAGCCCTGTATATATTAGAATATAGTATATATAGCACTTACTAAATAACCGTTGTGTGAATGCACTAAGGTCTATAATTTTATCCCTTGCCGGTAGACTTCGCTTTGTCTTCTGTAAAAACATATCTGGAGTTATGTTAGTGGCGGTCTACAGGGAGCTAATTAAAATTATTAATTTATTGCAATGGCTAGCTTAAACTAATGTCTTGGCTGCCCTTGTGAATACCCTTCACTTTAGATGTTGCTGTTCAGTTACTATGCCAAATAACAGATGATAAAATGTATAGCAGAACCTTAGTATATGTGTAGATCATGCACAGTGTATGTGGAATTTATGAAATATCATCAGGTCGTTTTAGCCATTTCATTCTCCAATGCTGCAAGTATGCATTGTAAAGGGTACACTGCATATTATTATATCCAGTAAAGACATACAAATTTCAAATATTGACATAATTTACTTATTTCGCATGGGGAGTATATCCGCAATCCAGTAGTTAAATAGAGAACAAAGTGTCATTTGGTGATCTGGAAAACAAAATAATAATAATGCATATTTACAGAGTTCAAAGTTTAAGAAATTTTAAGATGAAAATACCACAGTAAAGCATGGCAAATAAGATTAAAGGACCTAAACAACCTTATCTTAACACCCCCCACCCCCCAAAAAAAGAGTTTCAGTTTATAGATCACGTGCTTGCAGTCTCATTGCTCAGTTCTCTGCCATTTACTTTGTTTGTGCAGCCCTAGTACACCTCCCCTGGCCTTAGCTCACACAGTAAAAAGATTTCATTTTTACAGCGTGTTTATTTTAGAAGTTCTTATCTACTATTCTGCTAATTGAACTTTTTCACACGCAGGACACTGCTCCAAACTCTAGCAGGTTATTAAAAGGGTAAACAATAGGAATTTTTAAATTAAATGTGCAATAATTAAAGATGAAAATGTTTTAGTTATTTTTCATAAAGTTTGTAGGCAAGCTGTGTGAGTCAACAGCAAGGGCTGATTAAACAAAGAGGTTTAATGCCTAAATTGCAGAGAATGGAGCAGTTAGACTAGGGAATGGTACAAACACCATAACCACTTCATTGTTTAGGCGCTTAAAGTGTCCCTTTAATAGAATTATACTTTGTGCTTTTAAAAAATAAAATGGTATTGCACATATGAATGACCGATAATCAGTTGGCCAATCGGTTATTATCGGCCAATATTCGGCAGAATCTGTATTAGTTTACAATTATACCAGTGGTGTACTAGCAGGAGGAATGGGGGTGGGTGTGACAGTTTTTCTGATTGCCTCTCACATTGAAGAGGGGGTGGCTGGGACCAAGCATATGCTATCATCTGTTTTGGCAGTTCCTCTCTCCATCTCTAACCCGTAACTCCATGGGTTACCATGGCACAGCTCTGCGCGGCATACCAGCTTCACGAGAACTGGAGAGAGGAGCTGCCGGAAACAGAAGAAATAGTGTGCTGGTCCCAATCGCCCCCACTTAAATATGCAACCTCCTGGCAGCTTACACAAGGCCACTGGACCACTAGGGAATGTAATTTGCACCTCCCAGGCCACAGGAAAATGGTATGGACAGGGGAATAAAATGTCAATTCTTTTTTTAAATTAATTATCAAGTAATATGATAATTATATAAAATGATTAAAAAAAAAAAAAAAAACAACCTTTTACCTCACAACATTATTAGCCACAGAATCCTACCCCACATATTTACACACACACACAGACTGCATCCCCTACACACACACATTGTGTATTGTCTCTAATTATTCTTTAAAACATTAAAAATCTGACTTGCATGTATGTGCATTTTCCACTAAAAAAAATATCACAAATATAAATAAATAAAAACATTAAATAATAAACATGTTGAGTTAATGGCAGATTTGTGTTTCTTTTCTAAAACTGTGAATAAGTTCTAAAACTGTCTACAGACAGCCACTAGAGGGACTTCTGGGTGGACAGGCGATTTTTGGTTGCCTAAACGACGCTGGACGTCCTCACAATATGCATGAAGCCTTCCAGCATCCCTGGAATCCCCATAGGAGAGCACTGAATAATGCTTTCCTATGGGGAAATCCTAACACGAGTACGGCCATTGCCGCACATGCGCATTAGGTCTCCCCTGCCGGCAGACATTGGCGGGGATGGAGCATGGGCGGAGCTGAGCCAGCGCTGAGGGGCGAGTTTGTTTTACTGGCACTATAGTTTCCCTTTAATCCATATATTTGCTGTGGTTATAAATAATTAGTAGAAGTATGAATCAATATAATGGTAGAAATAAAATTGCAGATTTATTATGAGTGTTTTTTGCCTGGTGAATTTAGGATATGTGTACATATTTGCTCTCTGGATGCTGGACAAGTAATTCTCAAAATTTCTGATGTGGCATTTTTACCCATGTGTCAGGAATTGTCTGGCTTATTAATTAGATTATATAATATATTAATTGTATATTTTTCCAGTAATATATGTTTTTGTTTTCTTTACAGGACAATACATTATAGAGCTTAGTTTTACTTCATTGAGCATTCATTTCATATTTTACTGTGACTTATACGGACTTCCACAGATAAAATAAGCCAGGGCCACTCACTCAGTCAACTCTTTTTGCAAAAGAAATGCACTAGATAAATTCAACAGGTTTCCTGCATTGTAAATAGAAGCACTTAGTATTACATTTACAAAGAGCATCACTTCACTAAGAAGAAATGGATGAGGATTGGCTACATATTGAAGGGACACTGTAGCTACTGTAACTGCTTCCTTTTTGAACATTAAAGATTCTATAAACATTGAAGTGTTTATAGCAGCTGGAGCAGGGACGGATCCAGAACCAAATCTCGGGAGGGCACTGGTGGTGGGCTTTAGCAGGGTGATAGGGGTTGTAGCGGCGGATAGGGGGCTGTAGTGGAGCAGACAGGGGACTGTAGTGTAAGGGTTTGGCGGCTCTAGTTGGGGGGTTTGGGGCTGTAAGTAGCAAGTTAGGGGTCTGTAGTAGCAGAATGGGGGATTGATGTAGAGGCGCATAGGGGGCTATGTTGGAGGAAATTAACCAAACTATATGAATTTCATACCAAATTTTTTTTTTTTTTTAAATCAAGGGAAAATTGTAATTTTAAAAGTGTCAGTTCTTAAAGATGATAATTATAAAAATGTCAATCTTTGAAATTGTTAATAATAAAACCTTGTTATGAGAAACATATTTAAAAGTGCAACAATAGAAAGAATAGAAGGGGTGAAGAATTAGAGGAAATTTAATTGGGAAAAAATTAAAAAATTAGAATTTTGGATTCACAAGAATATATTGTTATATATATTTTGTATTCAATTCAAAACCTTTAGGTTCTAAGGCAGTGATGGCGAACCTTTTTGAGCCCGAGTGCCCAAACCGTAATACATGCCAATTTTTTTCCCTCAAAGTGCCAAAACGTTATTTAAACCTGAATACTGAGGTTTAAGTTTAGAAAAAACAACTCATACAGTTGTCCGAACTAATTAACATCTCTGTGTGTGTATTAAGCAGTTTGTGTGTGTGCTCGGCAGTCTGTCTGTCTGTGTATTTAGCAGTCTGTCTGTATTTAGCAGACTGCTGAGTACACAGTCTGCTGAATACACACACAGACTGCTAAATACACACACACACACAGACAGCCGAGTACACACACACACAGACAGACTGCTGAGTGTACATACATAAAACGGGTGGAGCTTCTTAAAATGACAATATAACAGATATTCTGTAAAATAGAATAAAAACCATAGTGTAATACAGTAAATAAAATTAAAAGTATATATGTAGCAGGTATTCCACTCACAAGCCTGGAGTCATAATTTCATATGACTCAGATGATGTGTGCCTTTGGACCAATTTAGGATGTCCAGATCCTTCTTTCTTGTAGGATTCCGTCTGTAACCACCTTTAACCAACTTCCAGACCAAAAGACGTCAGGTCAAAAATAGGTTTCTAAAAGGTTGGTGCTTTATTAATAATAAAAATCTTTTTTATAAAAGAAAAAGAATTGACAAATAAAATCAAAAATAAAATGTAACAACTTTAAATGGGGCTATATAGTCCTTAGTAGTCGCCAAAACGCGTTTCGCCTGGTACAACAGGCTTCCTCAGTCGGCTAAATTGCCCACTGTTTCGTCTTTTCAGTTATTTAAACAGTCCGCTCAATTTCACTTCCGGGTTCCGGTTTTCGCGGAGCGCAATTTTGCGTTCCAATGATGTAATTTCCTGCTCCGTCACTTCCGGGTTAGCGCCTTATCCGGTTGGAACGCATCATGCGCTCCAATCATACCATTTCCTGTTTCGTCACTTCCGGGTGCTGGTCTCGGTCAACTGGAACGCATAATGCGCTCCACCGGCATCATCCTCCATTCCTTTCATTCAATTCACTCTGACAATTTATTTTTCACGTATTTATATGTATCAATGTACTATATTAGTGTGTCATTAGTGTGTAAATCTATTCTATGCATCATTATATATATAACAATAAACTCTGCATCCATATTAGAGGATCCCAATCTATATTTTATAATAAAGGATGATGCAAATCCCTTTAAATCTTTATACAATGTGCAAGACATTATTCTTAAGATGTTTTATGGAAAAAGAGTGATTTACATATTTTAAAGTGCTCTTATATTATAAAGGTGACATAAACATTTCCCATTAAAGTGCTTTTATATATTGAAGTGCTTTTAAGTGCTTATATGGTGTTATTTAGGTTTCCACAATAGTATTCAAGAGTATGCCATTTCAAGAACTAAAAGAGAAAATTAATAAAATAGTATCCTTACTAAAAATGCATATAATTTGGCAAAATACACCTGTATCAAATTTATATAAAAATAATATTTCCTTCTTTCTTTTCCTTTGTTTCTTAATTCATGAAATGACATAACTCAAAGTCTTGATTTAAGCCATGGGGTGCCATAGTGTTAAAATTGAAAATAAATCTCATTTCTTCTATTCCTATTTTCCTGATGTAATCTCCTCCTCTCCAATCTTTCTTAACCAATTTTATTGCACAAAAGAACAATCCTTTAGGATCTTGGTTATGGAATATCTTAAAATGGTTGGAGACACTATGTGACTCCAATCCATTTTTTATATTCCTCGTGTGTTCTGCTATTCTCGTATTTAAGCATCTAATCGTTCTTCCTACATATAGGAGATTACACTGACACTTCAGAACATAAATAACCCCTTTGGAGTAGCAAGTTAAATGATCTCGGATTTGAAATTTTTGATTTATCCAAGGTTCCATATCTATTATATGACGCTTCCTACTTTTAGTATTTCTGCATGCTAGGCACTGACCACAACCATAAAAGCCTTTATTTTGTCTTAGGAAATTTTTTTCCACTAAACTTTGTTTATCACTACTTTGTACTAAAGTGCTTTTTAAATTTTTTGCTCCCCTGTAAATGATCTTAGGTCTTACTGGTAAAATATTTTTTAAGACTGGATCGTCTTGCAAGATGTGCCAATGTTTACTTATAATTTTATTAACTTTTTTATAGTTCCCATTAAAGTTACAAATAAATGGGACATCGTTGTTCCATTTTTGTTTCCCCTTTTTATCTTTATATGTTAAAAGGTTCTTTCTTGGTATTGTACGGACATCTTCTAGAGATGTCTGTAGATCTATTTCTGCATATCCTTTTTGGAGAAATTGGGTCTTTATCCTTTCTGCCTGTAATAGGTAGTCTTCATCATTGGTGCAATTGCGCCTAATTCTTAAAAATTGTCCTCTAGGTGCGTTCCTTAACCAGGGTGTGTAGTGACAGCTCTCTTTCCGAATGTATCCATTTGCATCCACATCTTTGAAATGATTCTTTGTGTTAATGCAAGTATTCGTGATTTTAATATCAAGATCTAAAAAATTTATACTTTCCTCACTTATTTGCGCCGTTAAAACAATATTCCAATCATTTTTATTTAAAAATGTGATAAACACATCTAGCTCTGTCCTAGTTCCCGTCCAGATGAAAAATATATCGTCGATGAAACGACGATAGCACACCAAGTCCGCTACCCAGGTATGTCCTCCAAATACAGACAGACTGCTGAGTGTACACACACTGCATTGAGGGGTACAGTGTATGTGTTTGTGTGTGGAGTGATGTGTGTGGGTGGGGGGGTGATGTGTGTGGGTGGGGTGGTGTGTGTGTGTGTGTGTGTCTTTTTGTGGGGTGATATGTGTAGGGCAGGGGTGCTGTGTGTATGTCGTCCCCCCTCTCCCCCCATGTTTTCTTTCCCCCCCATCCCTCCCTCATTTTTTTTCTCCCATCCCACACTCAGTCTCCTTCCCCTTCTCTCCCTCAGTCTCCTTCCCCTCCCCCATCTCTCCCTCAGTCTCCCCCCATCTCTCCCTCAGTCTCCTTCCCCTCCCCCCATCTATAGGGGTTATAAGGATTAAAATTAAGATATTCTTTAAAACATTCTAAAATGTTCTAATGATGAGTGGTCCCCTTTCCAAATAAAAATGCAATCATCAATGTATCTCTGCCATAGGACCAGATTTGCACCATGTGGGTGTTAGTCCAAATAAATTCATCTTCCCACTTTCCCATAAATAAATTAGCGTAGCTTGGCGCAAATCTAGTTCCCATGGTAATCCCTTCAATTTGTAGATAAAAATGGTTATTTGCCCCCCAAAATTGTGACTAAAAATGAATGCAACACATTTGACTAAGTAATCAATTTGGTCATTTTTTAATTCGGAGTGTTGGATTGCCTCACATCCTTGAAGATGTTCAATGACCGACGTAACATCTGCTGTAACTAAAATATTTTTTCATTCTAATGTAGACAGATTTTGAATAATATGTGTAGTGTCTCTTAGATAGGATTTCAGTTTCACTACCCTTTTTTGTAGAAATGTATGTCAGGGAACCAATATCTAAAATAATTGGTTGTTCTGAGGGGGGTGACTAATCTTTTGTATATTTTGGATACATGATAGAATACGGCCATTCTAGGAAACTTACTATATATATATATAAAAAATCATATTCCTTTTGGTTTAAAATACATCTGTCTTTCCCTTCATCTTAAAGAGTTAATAAATCTTGTTTGAATTCTTCACAAGGAATCTTTTCTAAGATTTTATATTTATGTTTTCTCATCATTGAGTAGTCTTTGATTCTCAATTTTATAGTCAGACAAGTTTAGAATTACAAGGCCCCCACCCTTATCTGCAGCTCTTATTACAATCTGGTCGTCTTACATTACGTTTTTTTAACCCCTTAAGGACCAAACTTCTGGAATAAAAAAGGGTATCATGACATGTCACACATGTCATGTGTCCTTAAGGGGTTAAAGCATTCCTTTCCTTTTTTGTAAAATTGTCGTACGACTTTTCTTGTATATTCAGTGCTCTTAAGTCTTTCTCCATATTTTTTTCAAAGACTAACATGGTCATGTTTGGTTTGTTGAGGATAAAATGTGGATCTTGGATGTAGAGCAGTATGTTCATATTGGTTATTATTTGAAGACATGTTAAAATCTTTATCTAGAAATAATTGTTTTACTGTTAATTTCCTAGCATATTTGTGAAGATCAATGTATTTATTAAATTTGGAATTAGAAGAGCTATGTGCAAACTTAAGGCCTTTCTGAAGTATGGAGGTTTCTTCCATTGTAAGAATTCGATCAGATAAATTAAAAAAAACATTCAAATTATTTTCATCCCTCTTCTTTTTTAGTGTCTTGATACTTTCCTTTAATTAAGGCTGTGTACTGTTTCAATAAACAAGTTCTTGCAAGAGATACAGGACTGATTATATTTTGTTGATATAAGGATCACAGAACCACAATCATATCTAGGAACAGAAGTTTATCAGCAGCAGAAGAACTGCAAGTTGCTTAATCGCCTGCTATAGCAGCTGGGAAAACATTAAAATTCTGAAATTTGGCCACACGTTGTTCAAAGTTTGAAAGTGTGGCTAGGGCATTTCTACACTGTAGAAATCATGATGCACATACATTCCTACATGTAAAACTATTATGCTGTATATATGGAGCTTGCTGTGCAAGTAAATTAACTTATTGTTTAATAATATATAAAATTATTAAAAGAAAGTTATAGAACATTGCTATTCCACCAATCATTTTCCTATGGAAAGTGTGAAAAAGATTTGGCAATTTCCCTTTAAGTAATTTTCTTATACACGCATAAGATTTAAGGTATATGCCTTTAAGGTTTCGGCATAAAAAAGAAGAAAATAAAAGGTTTGTCATTCTTTTTTGTTTTGGTGGAAAGCCAAAACGGCCAGTACTCATCAAGCACTGTACATCTTGTACTTTTAAACTGGTTCTCTGCCCATTTTTCTGGATGCAGCCTTCCTTGCTTTAATCTTCTAAATGAGCTAAATCTTTAACTACATTAAGGTTGATAGAGACACAATAGATCATTTGCAGCATTTTAAAATGACCTTCAGTTTATTATCTTATTAGATATATCAAAAGAGCTTGGTACACATGTACCATACATGTGTACCAAGGATTAAAATTATTGTTATAGTGAATGATATGAAGCCTCTAAAATGTGATCAAACTATATGATTTTTTATCTGTGATGTGATATTTCTAATAACCTGTCAGTCATTAATCATTACTGCAGGTACTATAATAGGACTAGGAGAGGTGCTGTTCCACTTGGACAACACATTAAAACTAAGCTCACTAACATTTTAAGTAAATACAATAAAGCAGAGTTGACACATTCATCATTTCTTGATAGTTTTAAACACATAAAGACAACTTAGCAGTGTTTAAGATTTTTTTTTTCCCCTGCTGTTATGGCAAATAGGATATACATCATATTGCTTCTCTAGAATGGTAAGGACAATAATGCCAGCTTTCAATGTGTATATGAAATGCAGTTTTATAAATCCAAGTTTGCCAGGTATCTTGAGTCTACGAAATAGGGGATCCACCTACGCAATAATCTATCTGAAACTGGTTTAGATGCACACGGTGCCCTGGTAAATTTCCCTTTCATTCTGGCAAACAGAAATTGATTTATGAAGATGCTCCAGTGACCAGTATGCGTAGATAATGATTACAAATTATGGAAATATAAATGAAAAATGATTAGTGGAGGCATATGAGAACTTGGGGCATATTTATGTGAGAAATAATTTACTTGCAATAGTTTAGAAACACTAGATTGGTTTTGGGGGTTGGGGGGATAAGCTTAATATAGAACTAGGGCTTGAGGTTTCCTGGCTCTCTGCTAGTGTGCTTGGTCTGGATGGGGCACAGGGTCTAGTGGGAGTGCTGGGGAGGGATAGGGATATATATATATTACAACAAATAAATGTACATGTAATTGTAACAGAACTCATCAAGCGTGTATTCCTAAATCAACTGGCGGCCAAATTAGTGCTGAGTAGGGAAGAAATTAGCTAAACCAGGGGAAAGTGAGGCCCTACTAAGTGCTAAGACAGGCAGTAGGGCTTGAGACACCGAATGTGGAAGGGATGTTGGTCTTTCGGGGACGTGTACAAGATGAAGCCCTTACTGGATGGAGTGAGGCTCTAACTAAGAGTTGGGCCAATATGCAAATACCTCCGTATGAGGATGGGAGTTTGCCTTGTGGGACTGATTAACTATTTAAACTAGACTTTTGGACAGCACCTATATCCTATGGCCAGTTAATATATCCCTGTGCAAAAGCTGGTGAAGGAAACAGCACCCTTGCACTATTAGCAGTGTTCAGGACAGAGACTTGTGTGAACTGATTGTAAAGAAGAAACCTGTAGACACAATAATGCCAATAATATATATTTATCTATGATGTGTACCCCGATTTGTGAATTAGAGTACTGGTATTGACATCAACTTGCCAAAGTACTGGTGGTACAAGGAGTTGCCTGGTCTCCCAAATATATAAATGAAACCAAGAGGGCTGCACTGACCTAAACATGCACCCTATAATGTATGTTCAGGTGAGTGCAGCCTTTTTGGTTTCATTTATATATTTGGGGGGGTTAAGACTAACTTCTTCACCCCTCCCTGTCACAGGTGCCTCATTCCAGGGCCATATTTAGCCTTGACCTGTAGAGAATCTCAGGAGGAAGAATTTCCCAAGTAAGTGGATTAATCTCATAAGAGCAAGCATTAGGCTACTAGGATAGGACCTGCCAAGAATGGGGTACATTGACATTGTGGCAGGCTTATGCAATATATGATCATATAATGTAACTAAACCTCCATTATTTTTTGCCTAGGTGAGGTGTTTTTAAATAAAAACTATTACATTCTGTGAGACTTGAAATTGCAGTTTAGTGAATGAGCGAGTGCGCTGGATTTTGTACGTTTTATAGTATATATATATATATATATATATATATATATATATATATATATATATATATATATATATATATATATATACACACACACATACATATACACACACACACACACACACACACACACCCACATACAAACACACGCCGGAGAGGACAAGGAGAGGGAGGAAAATGACAGATATTTCTCGCTGCACTGTGCTGCCTGTCATTAACAGTTTTAATAACTCTTGCTGAACATGTTATAGTGTAGTCTTAACTCTGTATCTGAGACACCCATGACTATCCTGATATCTGGCTTCCCTGACCTGGTTTTGTACATCGAATGCAAGATTACTGGCTTCTCTGTGACTTTGCCGTGTCTTTGATCTCCCTGGTCACTACTTCTGTTACGCTCGTTAAGCTGGCAACTCTCTGGGTTTGTACTCAATGTATTGTGTTATATTTATATACCGTGACAGATACAACATTGGAGTGGGGAGTAGCTGACATGTTTCAAACAAGTAGCAACATTTACTAGAAAGCCAAAGATGTCATAACAGCAGCAATAAAGTTGAGATCAGAAAAGGGAGACCTAGATCCTCAGGGAAGGTGGGGAGAGAAATAAAGGACAATATAGAGACATTGTACTGTGTGGTTATCTGTATTGTAATTCAGTGTAATCCATCACAGTAATCCTGACCGTGAGGGATAATTATGGGTATCTTATTGTGCCAGGTCTGTGTGTTATTTGCTCTGTATTTTACTCAGCTCTGCCTGTTGTATGGGTATCTCTTTAGTCTACCCAACTCTGTCAGTCACTACATTGGCTTCCAGTTAGATACAGGGCTCAATTTAAAATTCTGGTGCTTGCTTACAAGTCCCTATGTAATGCTGCTCCAACCTACCTATCCTCCCCAATACACTAGTATGTCCTGTCTAGGCCCCTGCGCTCTACCAAAAACCTACGTCTATCCTCTGTCCGTAAGCCCACCTCTGATCTCTCCTTCAAGACTTCTCTGGGGCTGCACCTCTTCTGTGGAACTCGCTTCCCTTTTCTGTTAGACTTTCACCCAGTCTCCACTCATTCAAAACAAATCATTGAAAACTGGCTTTTTCAGGAAAGCATATCATCTAAACTTTAAACAGCTTTCCCTCCCCGTATCCAGATTCTTATCCTGCAACTGTCAAAAATAACCTACTAAGCCCTCAGTGAATACTACTAGCAACCTACCTTTGCCCCTACTTCTACCCTTTTGTGCCACTATACCCCACTCCCGCTAGCATGTAAGCTCAATGAGCAGGGCCCTCAACCCCTCTGTTCCTGTGTGTCCAACTCGTCTGGTTACAACATGTCTGTTAGTTCACCCATTGTACAGCACTATGGAATCTGGCACTTTATGAATAATAAAATAATAACAATAATGGATATACTCACCAGCTCTACCATGTATTGTACGGAGTTATTTGTATTTCATTGGTATCTCTGTATTGTACTACGTTCTGTGTATTGTATATGTATCTCTATATTATACTTGGCTATGAGCATTACATGGATATCTCTATATTATAACTAGCTCTGAGTATTGTATGGGTAATTCTGTATTGAATGGGGACTACCATTAGGATGTGTATATATGAAGTGAAGAATCAAGATGCCAGATTAAAGGGAAACTATAGTACCAGCAAAACAAACTTGTTTTCATGGCACTATAGCTTCTCTCTCCCTCGTGCCCCACTCCCCCGCAGACAGCAAGCGGCGGAGACCTAATTCACATGCACAGCAATGGCTGCGCTTGCATTAGGATTCCTAAGGGGTTTCGGGTGATGCTTGAAGTCCTCATGCATAGCATGAGGACGTCCATTATCAGTTAGGCGACCAAAAGTCACCTAACAGCCCGGAAAGGTAGACAGCCACTAGAGGTGGAATTGTAATTATTGCAGTTTCTTTAAAACGGCAATAAATTACTTTTGCATGGTTAAGGGACCTGTGACACTGCACCCAGACCACTTCAATAAGCTGAAGTGGTCTGGGTGCCTATAGTGTCCCTTTAAAGGATGGGGTTAAATTTATGCTGAGAAGATCTTAAAACATTACCAGCCACCACTGTTCATGGTTAGCAATCCTAAACCTGCTGACTTAAACATGCAGGTGGTAAAAGGAGACACACCACTCCCATACCAGGCAGAGCTTCTACCAACTCAGAGCCTCTTGTTTGGGCTACACTACTTATCTTTTCTTATTTCAGCAGGGGCTTTAATACATATAGACCAGCCCACATGAGTGGAATGGCTCAATAAGCTGATCGCATTCACGATATAGTTATCAGTTTTGAATGAGAATGTGTACAGCATTCTCCTGAGAATGTTTAAAGGAATATCATTACTTAATGATTTAATTTATTTTGCTATGGAGTGTTTCTTTGATTGCAGAAAGAGTTCAGCAGGGTACTAGAGCAGTACCTTAAAAATGAAGCAATGGTAACATGTGCCTTTCTGAAGTACTATTATGTGCCCGTAAACATCAGACACAGACTGAAAGGGAATTAAGGGGCACACACTGAATACGCATTTCTTAGTATTGGTGCTGCTGTGAAGACTAAAATAAATACAATGTATTGATTAGGGCAACAGTGCACAAAGCAAAAAACCCAGGTTTTAATCTTACAATGCTATATAAAACCGCTGGCACATATTGGGATTCAGTTACACCATATGGCCAGATTGTTTTAAGCCCATCACTACGTCACAATACCCAAGTATTATTGGGTCCTACGCTAATTGGGATATAAATCATATTTATTGTTTAAATAGCTTCCAAAGACTCTCCTCAAATGCATTCTTTCCTTTGTTAACTTCACATTTGGAAGTGACCACAGGAAAACATGAATTTGAGGGATGGTCTACCATATTGTGGAATATTTGGACTTGGATCTATATATATAGCCCATAAACTGAACAGGTTAATACATTTTGTCCCTCCTATTGGACTTTAATGTAAACAAATATGTGCATGGCGTACCAACAAAAACATATATTATACATCATATTTATTTTCCACAGAGAAGATTTTCATATATTTATATTGTGAAGCGAATTATCATATGTTAACGTGATGCAAATAAAATCCACCAAGCGGACAACCAGAAAGTTCTACGTTGGCAAAAAATGATATAACAAATGAAAAATACATACCAATAGACAGAGAGGAATGTGCTTTGAAGCTACCCAAATAATCGTTTAATCTTTCAATATCCTGTAAAACTACTAGAGTCTTTAGATGATGCAAGGCAGTAACATCTGATGAAGGCATTGCACCGCTCTTGATCTGATTCTGGATTTCAAAAAGAGCATTTGCAGATATTGCATCATTTGCACATCTGGATTTCCCTGAATGAAATATAGATTAGGACAAATTACTTTTTTTCATTAACATTCTTGACAATGCAAAGTCAAACAAGTATGCCACAACAAACAAAAACATTGTAACTAAATACACTCCTTATACCGGTAGTTATGATATGGAGTATGAGACAAGTAAACACTTTGATATGGCATAACTAACTCACTAACGCACACCAGTCCTGGATGGGGGTAACTGCTTGGGTTCATAGTGAAAAATACTATATTGGAAATGTATATAGCCTTATTAAATTTCATGTTAAATTTTATTTAAAAAGTCATTGATGACTCATGAGCAACAGACCATGAACCTAAATATCACAGGTGCTTAAATTATGGTACCATGGACAAACAGATATATAACTGTATGTAACAATTCTTTTGATTTTACACGTGTAAAATTCCATATACCTGCATTAGAGGATCTTACCTGGTGTGATGTAGATACTTAATGCAGATATATTAAACAGCAATATGTTAAGAGTTAAATAAATATTCTACCAACAGTTGGAACCTTTAGAATGAGAGGTGTGGGGAATTTTAAGAATATGCACTGATCAGCCACAACAATAAATCCACTGACAGGTGAAGTGAATAACAATGATTATATTGCAATGTCAAGGGGTAGGATACATTAGACAGCAAGTGAACAGTCAGTGCTTGAGTTCTAGGTGTTGTAAGCATAAAAAATGGGCAAGCGAAAAGAATGACTTTGACAAGGGCCAAATAGTGATCACTAGATGACTGTCAGAGCACCTCCAAAACAGCAAGTCTTGTGGGGTGTTTCTGGTATGCAGTGGTTAGTAACTACCAAAAGTGGAGCAAGGAAGGACTACTGGTGTATGGGCATCAGCCTAATGAGCACCCAAGGCTCATTGATGCACGTTGGGAGCGAAGGCTAGCCAGTCTGGTTCGATCACACAAGAGAAGTACTGAGTTCAAACTGCTGAAAAATGTTATGTTGATCATGATAAAAAGGTGTCAGAACACCCATTGCATCGCAGTTTGCTCTGCATGAGGCTGCACAGGCACAGAACGGTCAGAGTGCCCATGATCACTCCGGTCAACAACCGAAAACGCCGTCAATGAGGAAACGAGTGCCAGAACTGGACCATTTTCACATTTTCTTTTAGATCAGGTATAAAGTACCAACAAAAAGATATATTATAAGGTTAACAAATGTAAACCTATTTAGTTTAGAAAAACGTTGCCTAAGAGGGGATATGATAACATTATACAAATATATTCGGGGCCAATACAAACCATTGTGTGGAAATCTAGTCACAAACCGGACTTTACATAGGACACAAGGTCATGTGTTTAGACTGGAATAAAGAAGATTTCGTCTAAGGCAGAGGAAAGGTTTTTTTACTGTAAGAACAATAAGGATGTGGAATTCTCTGCCTGAAGAAGTGGTTTTATCAGAGTCCATACAGATGTTCAAACAGCTACTAGATGCATACTTGCAAAAACAGAATATTCAAGGATATAATCTTTCAATGTAGGGCAATAACTGCTTGATACAAGGATAAATCTGACTGCCATTCTGGGGTCAAGAAGGAATTTTTTTCCTAGCTTGTTGCAAAATTGGAAGTGCTTCAAACTGGGTTTTTTTGGCGTTCTTTTGGATCAAGGCAGAGGCCATGTTATGTTCTGGGCAATGTTCTGCTGCGAAACCTTGGGTCCTGGTATTCATGTGGATGTTCCTTTGACATGTACCACCTACCTAGAGATAGCTGCAGACCATATTCACCTCATCACGGCAACAGTGTTCTCTTTCAGCAGGATTATTCACCCTGGCTGTGGTCTCTTTCAGCAGGATTATTCACCCTGCCATAATTCTTATTGTTTCCAACTTACCCAGATCTCAATCCGTTTGAGCATATGTGGGATGTGCCAAAGTAACAACTCTGATCCATGGAGGCCCACCTCGCAACATGCAGGTCTAAAAGGATATGTTACTAATGTCTAGGTGCCAGATACCACAAGCCATGTTCAGAGGTCTTATGGAGTCCATGACTCAAAGCATCAGAGTTGTTTTGGAAGGACGAGGGTGACCTACATGGTAGACATGTGATTTTAATGTTGTGGCGGATCAGTGTACTCTAATCAGTTAAAGAGTGAAAAAATAAGACATACTATCTGTGAAATAGAGATCTTGAGTTGCACCAAGAAAGTCCAAAAGATCTTCTGATTTCTTCCTTAGATCTTCTTCAGTATATTTTTCACTGACATTTTTTATAGACTCTTCTTCCATCTCACAACCATCTGCATGGTGGATGGAATCAGCTCCTCTCGCTTTCGGCCACAATCCAGCAGACTTCAACCTTTCCTTCTGGCGTTTCCTCTGAAGTTTCCTCCTCCTGTTTTTATTTATAGGAACATAGTCTGAGGTTTGTGGATGTGGAATTATTTGTGACATACTGTTGTAATTTTCAGGGTCTACCTCAGGATTGATACAAGCTTTCTTCCTTTTTCTTCTTCTTCGGTGTGGCCGTGTTATATTGCCTAAAAAACAAATAAATTACACTTTATGCATGGTTACTAATAGGTTTATTGCAAAATTCAACATGTAAAACAAACTGACAAAGGAGATCTTATCAGTGTATGAACAGATTTTTAAACAGCCACTAGATGCATACTTGCAAAAACAGAATATTCAATGAAAAATGTTTCAACTGTAGGGTAATAGCTTCTTAATCCAAGCATAAATCTGACTGCCATTTTTGGGTCAAGATTTTCCTAGCTGTTGCAAAATCGGAAGTGCCTCAAACTTGATTTTTTTTGCCTTCTTTTGGATCAACAGCAATAAACAGATGTGACAAAGGCTGAACTTGATGGACACATGTCTCTTTTCAGCCCATGTAACTACGTAACTCTGTGGAGCTCCCAAATGTACTCAACACATATTTCTTCATTTGGCTTATCTGTGGATCAATTATGCCTCTGATACACATACAGATGATACCCTTGAACTCATCTTGATGTATGGTTATTTGCTACAGCTACTCCATTAGATCATCTGCTGATTACTTTATACTCTTTTTTTTCTGCACTTCGGGTTCTATAAATGCAACCCTTTCCTCCTCTCTTTGTGCGCTTGCTCTTCAAATCACTATCTACTGCACATTCTGCCATCTTAAGCCCAGATCGTCAGTTCATTACACACACTTCATTACCTGAAGGCTCTTGTAATGCTAGTTCCTTCCCATCCACCCTAACAACATTCTGTTCCATCTCAATTGGTCTCCCCCACCGGATGACGTCGGCGGGGGAGGAGCGTGGGCGGACCCTGTACCAGCGCTGAGGCACATCTGCGGTGGACTCCGGTAAGTCACTGGAGAGGTTTAAACCCCTTCAGCAACCTGGGATGGGGGGTGGGAGGGAGAGGGGATCTGCAGTGCCAAGAAAACTGTTTGTTTTCCTGGCACTGGAGTGTCCCTTTAAAGGCAATCAAATAACCCAATAAAAATAATTACTTCCTTCGGCAACATCCTTACTATATCTCTCTAAACAATAACCTCTTACTGTAACAGAATTTGTATCCCACGTTCTATAACCAAAATATCCAACATTAGAACATCCTGAAGCCACCTTTACGGTTGATAATGCTCATGCTTTCTCTGGAACCTTTATCTCCTCTAAGTGGGACACAAAAAGCATTTTCCACTCTTATACCCGCAATCTTGGTAAACATGAATATAAATTCCAATTAACTGTGAAAGTACAATTCTGGCAAAATACTACAAATCTAAGTGCTTATTCAGAGGTCCAAGAATCAAGCTGTGCCTGTACCCATTTCTAAACATGAAGGTTACATGCGACAATATGAACGTATGCAAATCAAAGATTCCCTTTGGTGTTATCCTTCTAAAAATTTAATATTTGCAAGAAGAGATTAGCTGGACTGCCAGAAAAGTGGAGGAGTGCTTTCTAGCATAAGACATGAATACTCTACAACATATAGAAAAGTCTGGTGACAAACACGTCTAGTTTCTGCAAAATGCAGTAATTGAGATTATGAGACGACATGCTGTGATTACACAAATATATAGATGGCAGAGAGATGTCCAAGATATAGAGAGATAGAAAAAAAAATCCTCCCACCCAAAAAAACTAAATGGTCAGCTTCTTTAAAATTAACCCGACCCATAGTTACCTGACCACACAACCATCAACACTTACACTGGAGGCAATGACATCTCTATAAACTTATTATAAATAAATATCTCTGCAAACTCCATCAGTATAGACATCACACTATGACGGAGCATGATGCATTCTAAAGAAACGCAGACTGGGTTTTCTATGACTCCATTGCTACCAATGACAACCAGCCTGTGTTAGGAATGAAATAAGCACTGTCATGATGAGGCCTGTGGTAGCCAACTCAAGAAACACTATACACACTCATCACAGGCTGACAGCCTGGTCAACCCCAGATACTGCAGTCTACTCAGTAATTTGCCAGGGTATCATGCTAGGAGACCAGTGAGAAATACGTTCGCGTTAGGAATACATCTTTATTCCCTTAACTAAATTGCTGCAGCCTCCTGTGACAACCTGCTCATTTATAATACCTTTTGGGAATATAGAGTTTTCCTCTAACGTTAACGTGACAAAATTAATGCATTATTATTTACTCCTCATTAAACTGTTATGAATTTTGTTAACTACATTTTTTTTTAAACTGCGGTTAAAATAAACAGCATTTAAAGTAACCATTGGATTTATTGCGGTTCTTCTTAGTCTCTTAGTTATGCAGTGTCTATTCATTTCCACATAGGGACTATTCGTTTATATCAGGAATAAAGGTTTCCATGAAATTTCTTTTTTTTTGTGCATTTCACTGGCTTTCTGAATTCAGTTAGGGAAATAAGAAATAATTTTGTTGTATTGACCCTACATCTCTATCGTAGGAGAAATGTTATTAATTGAAATGGAGTTATGATGCCTTATGGTGATGGCTTGAGAAATCTTACCTACAGCGGTTAAACGGTTTTCGAACCGTTTGTAGCGGAGCTGCAATACTAAAATCAATATCTCCGATAGTAGACTGTAGAACATCAAAGAGAAGCGCAGTACAGCGACACAATCCCAATAACCGGATGATACACAGTTCTGAAAGTCAACTGATTTTTATTCTGCCACAGCTGGCTTTTATGCAACTCCCCATGCAAGGGGTTTCTTAAATTTACATTCCAGGGATTTTCCCCTGGTGGACCTTGTTGGAGACAGGGGACAATGCAACATTTCCCAGACTCCTCCTCTGTACCTGGGAAATAATTGAGTAAGAACAACTCTTTAATTACATTATCTCCCAGGTACATAAAACATACAATATTTTAAACCCTCACAACACATATTAATATTGATCAGAACTCCATGAAAGAACTCTACTTCACCAAATAGCAGGGATCTGAGCGCCCACTCTGTCGAAACATCACTCAGATCCGTTCGGTATATCAGGAACGCTATTAGAGTGAAGTTTAGACCGGTCAACCACGAGGTGAAACCCCAAAATAGTTCCAGATGGTTTGAGGCTTTGACCGGTCTTCTTTCGGGAGTATATACCATTAAAATAATGAAGGGAACTGTTCTTGTAACAGGGGGTCGCGTGCCCTGTGTTCGGTAGTTTATTCAACACGAATGCTGCTCTTTATAGGTGAATTGAAATGAACACACGAAGGGATGGTAGTTCAGCGGTGTTCGTGCCGTCGAGTGTCCAATTATAGTTCCATGCACTCGACAACCAAGCATGGCTGTCTGTGTTCATGAACAAAGATGGCCACCGCCATGTGTTCGGTCATACTAATGACGCTAACCCATCCGACCACTTAGAACCTTCAGGTACACGACTCCCCTGGGTGGTCCCATTGTTAGGTAGATTGTTCGACAGACGAACAATATGGTTTTAGTCTGTCCGGGAACTCCAAATTGTCGAACCAACTCAGTCTTTAAAGGACCACTCTAGGCACCCAGACCACTTCAGCTTAATGAAGTGGTCTGGGTGCCAGGTCCAGCTAGGGTTAACCCATTTTTTTATAAAAACATAGCAGTTTCAGAGAAACTGCTATGTTTATAAATGGGTTAATCCAGCCCTTAAATCTTCTAGTGGCTGTCTCATTGACAGCCACTAGAGGCGCTTGCGTGATTCTCACTGTGAAAATCACAGTGAGAACACGCAAGTGTCCATAGGAAAGCATTGCAAATGCTTTCCTATGAGACCGGCTGAATGCGCGCGCAGCTCTTGCCGCGCGTGCGCATTCAGCCGAAAGGGAGGAGAGGAGGAGGATCGGAGGCGGAGAGCTCCCCGCCCGGCGCTGGGGAAAGGTACGTTTTAACCCCCTTCCTCTCCCCAGAGCCCGGCGGGAAGTGGACCCTGAGGGTGGGGGCACCCTCAGGGCACTATAGTGCCAGGAAAACAAGTATGTTTTTCTGGCACTATAGTGGTCCTTTAATACAAATAGGTGGCTGGTTCTGCCACACGGTTTAACCCCGGAGTTGCCTCCAGCGCCGGTCTCAGCTCTCCGCGGGGGCATCTGGCTTTTAAAATTTCAGTTTCAGGAAGTGCAGAGTGCCACCTGGCAGGGGCGTCAATGATTGGCTGAGAGCAGTCAGCTAATGCTCTCAGCCAATCAGTGACTCCTCATTCACAAAACTGGCTTGGAAAAAAAAAAAAACATACCTTTTCCAAGCCAGTTTTGTGAATGTGAAGTCACTGACTGACTGCTCTCAGCCAATCACCAGTGCCACTCCATGCTTCCTGTAAGTTTAATTTCAGAAGCTGGATGCCACCAGGGGAGGTGCGGAGATTGCCGCTGGAGGCAACTTTGGGGTTAAACCGTTAGAGAGTGCGCTTGTTGTTTTGGTGTCTGGAGTGTACTTTAAATTAAAATGATTTGACGCAAAAAAAGTGTGATTTACCATGATATAAATATTATTTATTTCACAGTAAACTATATAATTTGGAAAAGAGATTTATCATATTTAATTCAATTTCCCCAATTCTGGTGCCAGAAGTACCATGGAGCCCACATGAAGTAAGTAGTCAGCCCAGCACTAGTATTCCCTCCCCTAAACTCAGCAGTACAGGGCCAGCTAACTGGCTGAGTGTGCAAGCCGATTGCTCTCAGCCGATGAGCTAACCCCAACGGAGGAGATTTCGGGTCTCCTGGTGAAGGTGACCAGCACCCAGCGATTTGACTACTTACCATGTCAGCATGCCTGGCAATGCACTGTAGTGGTTACAGTGCTTGGAGTGTTCTTTTAAGTTCAAACAACCAGTACATACACATTTCCCATTATTCACACATAAAAATATAAAACTAGTACAGTAATGCAGAAAATAAATAAAAAATAAAATACATTTTCAAGTTATGTCGCATTTAAAATGGACTAATTTGCCCTGCAACTCATCCGTAAATATCTGAAAAGGCATACAAATGTCACTGAGATATTGGAATCCGAGCCATGCTTCAGCAATTTAACATTACTTACATTTTTTAAATGGTCTCTCCTTAAGTGCTTCACCCCACATACAAATAATTACAACAAGCAAAAATAAATTAAACTGAATTTATTTTTATTCGACTGGCTAAGCTCCATGGCACACATCTGCTTTCATGGAGAACATCAGAAAAACCCTCCTCTCTCATTGCTTTAAAACTCATATTAAAAACAGTTCTGCAGTGGTTTGCTCCCCAACTTAGATGACAACACTTGGGTAGTATCAGTTATTAATATACACGTAATATAATTTGATCAAGCCAGTAAAATAATATGAAATTAAGATAACAAAAAAAGCAGCAATGAATTTAGCCAGTCATGCTTTTATAGAACTAATCATGAGTGGGAACTCTCAAGCCTTGTGTTCCAGGTTTCAGAACACAGCTGAAGACCTCTTTTGAGTATTATTTTCTTTATACTACTATGACTCTGCCCAGAGAACGTGATAACATTTTAATTCTTCGGAGCAGAACTTTGTCTGCCATTTGTTAACCAATGTTCTGTTTTTAGAACGAGCATTACTGTGTTTAGTAGTTACTACTAAAACTGTTTTTTTAGGAAAGTAAAATCTGAAACATCCAAATGATTTTTTAAAAAGTTTTTTTTTCCTATTAGAATTTTTAATGAATTTAATCTAATATGATAAACTTCCCTTCTCTTTTAGTGATCCCTCCCCGCTTAATGTTCCTCTCCACTCCCTCTTTTTTTTTTTTTTTTTAAGTGTCTCCCCCTCCTCCTGTCCCATAGTGTTCTCCCCTCTCCTGTCCCATAGTGTTCTCCCCCCTCTCCTGTCCCATAGTGTTCTCCCCCCCTCTCCTGTCCTAGTGTTTCTCCCCCCCTCTCCTCCCATGTGTTCTCCCCCCCTCCCGTCCCATGAGTGTTCTCCCCCATCCCACTTAGTGTTCTCCCCATCCATAGTGTTCTCCCCCCTCTCCTGTCCCATAGTGTTCTCCCCCTCTCCTGTCCCATAGTGTTCTCCCCCCTCCTGTCCCATGGTGTTCTCACCCCTCTCCTGTCCCATACAGGGAGTGCAGAATTATTAGGCAAGTTGTATTTTTGAGGATTAATTTTATTGTTGAACAACAACCATGTTCTCAATGAACCCAAAAAACTCATTAATATCAAAGCTGAATATTTTTGGAAGTAGTTTTTAGTTTGTTTTTAGTTATAGCTATGTTAGGGGATATCTGTGTGTGCAGGTGACTATTACTGTGCATAATTATTAGGCAACTTAACAAAAAACAAATATATACCCATTTCAATTATTTATTATTACCAGTGAAACCAATATAACATCTCAACATTCACAAATATACATTTCTGACATTCAAAAACAAAACAAAAACAAATCAGTGACCAATATAGCCACCTTTCTTTGCAAGGACACTCAAAAGCCTGCCATCCAGGGATTCTGTCAGTGTTTTGACCTGTTCACCATCAACATTGCGTGCAGCAGCAACCACAGCCTCCCAGACACTGTTCAGAGAGGTGTACTGTTTTCCCTCCTTGTAAATCTCACATTTGATGATGGACCACAGGTTCTCAATGGGGTTCAGATCAGGTGAACAAGGAGGCCATGTCATTAGATTTTTCTTTTATACCCTTTCTTGCCAGCCACGCTGTGGAGTACTTGGACGCGTGTGATGGAGCATTGTCCTGCATGAAAATCATGTTTTCTTGAAGGATGCAGACTTCTTCCTGTACCACTGCTTGAAGAAGGTGTCTTCCAGGAACTGGCAGTAGGACTGGGAGTTGAGCTTGACTCCATCCTCAACCGAAAAGGCCCCACAAGCTCATCTTTGATGATACCAGCCCAAACCAGTACTCCACCTCCACCTTGCTGGTGTCTGAGTCGGACTGGAGCTCTCTGCCCTTTACCAATTCAGCCACGGGCCCATCCATCTGGCCCATCAAGACTCACTCTCATTTCATCAGTCCATAAAACCTTAGAAAAATCAGTCTTGAGATATTTCTTGGCCCAGTCTTGACGTTTCAGCTTGTGTGTCTTGTTCAGTGGTGGTCATCTTTCAGCCTTTCTTACCTTGGCCATGTCTCTGAGTATTGCACACCTTGTGCTTTTGGGCACTCCAGTGATGTTGCAGCTCTGAAATATGGCCAAACTGGTGGCAAGTGGCATCGTGGCAGCTGCACGCTTGACTTTTCTCAGTTCATGGGCAGTTATTTTGCGCCTTGGTTTTTCCACACGCTTCTTGCGACCCTGTTGACTATTTTGAATGAAACGCTTGATTGTTCGATGATCACGCTTCAGAAGCTTTGCAATTTTAAGAGTGCTGCATCCCTCTGCAAGATATCTCACTATTTTTGACTTTTCTGAGCCTGTCAAGTCCTTCTTTTGACCCATTTTGCCAAAGGAAAGGAAGTTGCCTAATAATTATGCACACCTGATATAGGGTGTTGATGTCATTAGACCACACCCCTTCTCATTACAGAGATGCACATCACCTAAAATGCTTAATTGGTAGTAGGCTTTCGAGCCTATACAGCTTGGAGTAAGACAACATGCATAAAGAGGATGATGTGGTCAAAATACTCATTTGCCTAATAATTCTGCACTCCCTGTAGTATTCTCACCCCCCTCTCCTGTCCCATAGTATTCTCCCCCCTTCCCCTGTCCCATAGTATTCTCCCTCCTTCCCCTGTCCCATAGTATTCTCCCCTCCTCCCCTGTCCCATATAGTGTTCTTTCCCCCCCTCCCCTCCCCATATAGGGTTCTTTCCCCCCCCTCCCTGTCCCATATAGTGTTCTTTCCCCCTCCTGTCCCATATAGTGTGTTCTTCCCCCCCTTCCCCTGTCCCATATAGTGTTCTTTCCCCCCCTCACCTGTCCCATACTGTTCTTCCCCCCTCCCCCCATCCCAAAAAATTGAATTTCGGCAAATTTGACCCGTTTCGGCAACCAAAATTTCGGTGCATCCCTAAGCTTAACTATGGCGGAAATATCCACATAGCTTAACTAGAGCTGTAGGAAACCAAATGACTTGAAGACTTAATGACTTAAAGGTAGGCAGACAATGTAATAGAGCAGCAGGAAATGCTAGCAGAATGCTTGGTTGTATAGGGAGACGTATTAGCAGTAGAAAGAGGGAAGTGCTCATGCCATTGTAAAGAACACTGGTGAGACCTCACTTGGAGTATTGTACACAGTACTGGAGACCGTATCTTCAGAAGGATATTGGTACTTTAGAGAGAGTTCAGAGAAAGGCTACTAAACTGGTTCATGGATTGCAGGATAAAACTTACCAGGAAAGGTTAAAGGATCTTAACATGTATAGCTTGGAGGAAAGACGAGACAGGGGGGTTGGGTAGAAACATTTAAATTCATAAAGGGAATCGGCACAGTAAAGGAGGAGAGTATATTTAAAAGAAGAAAAACTACCACAACAAGAGTCACCTTTGTGGAAGTTCGGGATGGAACAAATGAAGTGGACCAACTTGATGTACTGAAATTATTCCAGCACAGTAGGTGTTTATTAGCATATTAAGCAGTTTAACTTCAGAGTTGGATAAGGCACATCCCAGTTTCAGATATGTAGAGTCAGTCAGTTTATGTATATAAGAGAGGCCAGTTCTACCCAGACCAAACAGAGTTATAGATGAATGGGTACACAGGAGAGAGGTGAGGTGAGAGCATCAGATGGTGCCTGATCAGTGCCAATGTCTTTAACATTGGAGAAATGGTAGGGTGGGTACTGGTGAATAGGGTCAGTCATGGGATAGTTAAAGTAGTGTCAGTGAAAAAAAAAGACCTTTCTAGGTCAACCACTGTAAGTTGTTGCTCATGTTTGTCCAATCATGTAGTCTGATTAGCATAATTGCCTGGTAATACTGCTCTAGATGTGGAAGGCCCAGACCACCATTCAATTTGTGGGTAAGTAATGTGTAAGACAATATGGGTTGTTTGTGTGTCCAAAAGAAAAGAAGAATTTTACATGAGGTCATAAATAATTTAGGAAGGGAAATGAGGAGAACTTGTAGACATAGAAAGTGTGGAAGAATATATATTTTAGGATATTAACTCTACAGAGCCATGTAAAGTGGGAAGAGTTATTGGATTTGAAGTCCTGTTAAAATACCTGGATTAAGGGAGGGAAGTTGAGGCCATATAATTGCTGGAGGCTAGGTGATATTTGTACTCATTTTGACGGATTTGTCTGCCTATGCAAGGAGAGGAGTAAATAGCCCTTATCCATCTAAACCAGTTGGGTTTAAAGCCAATGAGATGCAACGTGGAGAACATTAGAGACTAGTCCACCCTGTTGTAGGCTATCTCTGCATCAACTGAGATTAGGATAGTTGGGGTTCCAGACAATTTTACGAAGTGTATTCGATTTATCAGTTTGGTGGTCTTAAGGAATTTTTAGGAGGTGGAAAACATAATGGACCCACTGTCAAAGTTTGTGAGGATGCACCATTACCCAATTTACTCATTCTGTTTGTTTACGAAGGTTAGTTGCTCACCATATACAGTGCTCAGTAAAATGCAATACCTTCATCGCCTTTGTCTTCTGACTCTTCGGAGGTTGAAGATTTGCAGACTTCATGTGATATGTGTGCACAGTCTTCAGGAGGGAGACTAACAGTATAGACCTTCTGGGTTTGCTGAATGTCCGTCACACCATCTAAAAGTCAACAAAGTACATTGTTTTAAAAGAGGTTTTCCATGATTTTTTTTTTTTTTTTTTTAAACCATTTGTATATTCAAACAAAGAAAAATGTAAATCTTCCAGGTCAACCCCCTCCCCTTTCTCCAAAATAAATCAATGGAGTACTTCGCGATCAGGAATCAAACCAACTATGATAAATATGCTTTAGATATTTAAAGGACCGTTAGTGAGCAAGTAGAATAGTATTAGGTGCCAGTATGAAATACCACCAACTTACCAAGTAGAGTTATATTTCTCTCACAATTATATTTTTATAGTAAGTATTTTTATTTGGAATTATTTTTATATAAAACATTTGCCACATGCAAATTGTTAAATCAAAGAGTTTCACTGAAGAAAATATAAACTACAAAGGCTATTCTGGGCACCGAAACCACTTCATATTAATTAAGTGGTTATGGCGCCTAGAATCCTTTGGCACCTTCACACTTTTCAGTGTTAAATCATTTACTAATGGTTTAACACTTACGTAAGGGTCTGTCTGGCTCCCTTTACTCTGTCTTCCTTTATATGTAGAAGCATTTACTTAAGCAGAAGAGATAGGCTGATAGTCAATCGATGCTTTCAGACCACACTGGCAACGCATAGCAAGTAATACTTAAAAAATTGTGAACATTATGCCCTCAGTCCAAGAAAATGCATCTGCAAGCCAGCCAGAGGAGAGGAATTTAGAACAGTGCCTGGATGACTCAATTTAAGTATTAAATTGTTTAAAAAAATGCTTTAAATGCTTTCTTTGAAGGACGGCAGGTCACTGCTGGCACCTACATTGGGATGTAGTTGCTGTGATGTTTGGAGTGTTTTAAAACATGATTTTGGAGTGTTTTTCATACTTTTTTTTTTATTAAAGGAGTACGCTAAGCATTACATTTTCTTTATCTTAATGAAGAGAGGAAGTGTGGAGCTATAAGTATAAGCAAAGTGCTTTATAAGGTAACTCCAAGCAACATGACCACTTCAGTGATTTGAAGTTGCCATGTGCCTGCAGTCTGTATGTGCAGCATTTTACTATGAAATGCTAAACCTACAGAGTTTAACCCCAGCAGCATCATTGGGGCATCATTAACCAGTCCAAAACAAGAGTTCTGGGCTGGCTATGGTTAATTCTGCTCACATTCCTATGGTCAGAACTCTCAGCCAATGTATGGCAATGGTATCTGCAGAAGCCTCAGCGCCTTGCACCCAGAGACCAAGGTAAGAAGTCAAAGCATTGCAAAAAATATGCCTAAACGTTTTTTTCCCACAATAAAAGAGAAGGACATATAGATCAACCAGTGGGATTCATCCACACATATTTAACCCCTTAAGGACCAAACTTCTGTAATAAAAGGGAATCATGACATGTCTTTGTTTGCTTCCAAAAAAGAAATGACTACAAGGGAAACTAAAACATTTAAAACTACGGCTATGAAGGAGGTAGGAAAAATTAAGAAACTAAATAAGTTTCAGCAAAATGTAACCCCAGTAGAAAGAAAGCACTTATGGATTTCCAAAAAAGTGAAGATCTTATAATAAAACGTGCATATAAATAAGGGGGGAAGGGAGACGGGGCTAGTAGTTTTAACTAAAGAGAAATATATGGAAGAGGCAACAAACTTACTCTTGGACCATACTACTTATAAGAAGATATCTTTAAACCCCACAGAACAAATTAAAGAGAAATATGATGAATATATATATATATATATAAAAAAAAAAAAAAAGACATAATAAATATTTTAACAGATGAAGAAGCCAAGTAAAACCTAGAATTACAGTGTTCTACCACCTACCAAAAGTCCATAAGGATAGAAACAACCCCCAGGTAGACCTGTTATATCTGGTATAGTCAATATATAATTCTGGATATCTGCATACACTGACATCCTGCTCCAACCTATAGTAGTTAAGAATCCTGCCTGTCTTAATGATACCATCCATGTTTTACAAACTAGCACAAAAGAAGCACATGGAAGGAAAATTATCTCCTCATCACATGTGATGTTACCTTACTATATAACATCATGCCTCATGATATAGGTATGGCGGCTATAAAACACCTCTTAAGTAAGTCAGATTTTATAGAAGAACAAATTAAATTTATTTTAGAGGGCATTAATTTACTGGTAATCCTTACAAGTATTTTTGGTTTAAGGACAGTTTTGATGCCAATTTATTTATGGACTACTTGGAAGAAAGGTGTTTTTTCAGAAGCACCCCTAGAATGCAAACTTGTTGCCTCATCAAGGTTTCATAAATGATATATTCTTTTTATCTGGAAAGGGGACAAAAAAAACCCAAAACCTTAAACCTCTTTTTTAAATAGTTAAACCAAAACTATTGGAGCATTATTTTAACTTCTGAAAGTAGCTCTACAGAAAATTATTTTTTAAGATTTAAAGATTTATTAAAAACAAATAAACAAACTGTGGATAAAATAAATGTTGTTTGTTATTTGTTTTTATTTATACAGCTGTTGTTTTTATTTAATAAACCTACTAGTTTATATAACATCACCTGTGGAGTACATCCTTCATACAGCCCTCATCGCATTCCGGTTCCTTTATATATCCATAGGTGGGGATTGTTCCACCTCAAGTTCTTCATACCAGAGAAGGACATTGCTCTGGGTGATGTAAGTAGGATATTTCCCTCCATCAATACCAATTGTTTGTATATACTATACCATTGGATTTCCTAATTTGTCTTTTTTCACATATACCTACTCCATCCTGAAAACAGGCTCCAGAGACCCTCCACTTATATCCATAAATGGGGATTATTCCATCCAGGCCTTCATAATAGAGCTGAGAAAGCTCTAAAATGTGTGAGTGCACTTTTGCCCATTTGTACACCCTTCACATACATCTACTGTACTGCACCATAATCTGTTTCTTGCTTTGTACTTATAGATTCATATACTAAGAATATCATCTGTATCATATGTATATATAATCTTAAGCGTTGATCACCTCCTGTCTGTTATCGTTTCTATCCACTTCACAATGGTGGAGAGAACCCCTTGTTGGTGATTTGCTGCTAATTATAGATGTTGAGCACTGATACTCACCAGTTTTTCCAGTTACCGTGGAGGAATGTTCAAGTCCATTCCTTCAACAATTCCTGCAACAAATCTGTTCAGTCATTTTGAATGCTCACTCAATGGCGTCTAGCACCCTGACTGACGGATACTGTGAAATCGTCATTGTTCACACATGTGTATTACAGTCCACTCTCCTTGGCTGCCAGGTTACACCAAGGTCGCGCAAAACGCTTTTGCCATATTAACAATGGTTAGACTTTTTTCGGACAGACCTCTTATACGTCTACACGGTTGTATTTATCCTCTCTGTTTAAGGTTACGGTTCCACCCAGCCATAGGAAACTATAGTTTTGTGTATAGCTCCACCTAACTTATTTATTGGGCCAATAGGTGACACAAACTTATTTTACAAACGTAAAATAAGTGTAAAAAAAAAAAAAAAGTATCGGCCTTTTGGCTCACTACACAGGTCCTTTAATGACTGAGCAGGTATGTGTGTGTGTGTTTGCTGCATGAAAAACCAAACTACTATTTAATATACTGTAAATTCACATAGATTGTCCATATTGATTTCATTATTTCTGCAGACATTATGTAAACATAAAAATGGACATAATGTGAGGCAACGAGCTAGTAGAATGAGAAGATGAGACATGAACAAATCAATATGGTGGTGGTGTTTTGCAACACAAATTCAACAACTCTTTATGAAGAAACGAAGCCCTACAATACATAAAGAAAAATGCCATGAAGTTATTTAAAACAAACTAATTTGCATTCATGTAAAACTAAGTGTACTTGGATTTGTTGTTTAAACATGGAGTTAAAATATTGCAATGTATTAAACAGGAAAGGGAAAAATGTGGCCAGCACCCATTTTTCATTTGTAGTTCTATTATTCTAGCTTTGAAATGCTCAATTTATCAGTCCAGGAACATCCTGTCTCGTCTGCACAATGTTTTCTTTGAATCATCAATCCCCATTATTGTCCTAAAAACTTGTCATTTCTGTGAACAATTTGATCTGCTTATATGCCAAAATTTGTTTCTTTTATGGTTGCTTTTTAAGCATAATATGACAAGTCAGACAAATGATGAAAGATACAGGTCAGGAAGAACGGATGGCAACCTTCGACTATGTGCTACATAGTCAATGTTCAGGGGTGTTTTCTCAATCACTGTTCTTCTATACATAACTCACTTGTGTATCAGATATGACGTCTTATTTAAACTTCATGCTGAAATGGATTATTCTGAAGCCAGTATCGCTGATAAAATTAAACAGTTTGCAGGAAATGGAAAATAAACACTCTTCTAAACAAAATGAAATCTCTCTTAATCTATGTGTTTATATATACGCACACATTAAAGTTATATTATATATTTCAGTTGAATATACGATCACCTTGTGAGCATTCTGTTGGAGATGGTGCAATTGCCACATCATCTTCCTCTGCAATGCACGTTGATGCCTTTTCAGACAGGAGAGGGGAGACTTGCAAGCTGGGAGTAGGTGGATCCGCATGGGGATATAATCTTGCTAGGACTTTTGATACAAACACTAATAAAATGATAAAAAAAAATTTTTTTAAAAAAAAGGTATTGTTTAGGAAACTACTGTAAGAAAAAAATATTTGGAATAAAGTTGGTTTAAATGAAAAAAAAAAAAAAAGCACACACACACACCCAAAATAGTATTCCCAATTTGTAGAGATTTCTTTGACCTGTGTACAAGAAATAGAACTGAATCTCTCACATGAATATGCCAACTGTTAACCTAAAGCTCTTGCTGAGAGGAACAAGTAGTTTGAGTTTCCAGACTTCTTAACATTAACCACCATGCTCTTGATGCAATTACAGCAAAATGGAAACGTCAATAAATTGACTAATTGCACTCAACAGTTTGGCATAGAGTTGATGTCTACAGGGTCTTGCTGAGCCAACTAGCATGTTTAGGTCAATCTCTTGAAATTAATTGTGACATGCAAGAATATGCTATTCAAAGCATGTTGATCTTGGTGGTCTCAACGGTGGTTCCTCTGAACTAGACAATGAAAATAGTTATAACTATTTTTAAACACATTCTACAATGTTTATATTAAGCTTACAACATGTTGAATTATTATCTTTACCTTTTCTTATATTAATATGCATTAGAGCCATGGTATATGCTGGCTCTATATAAATAATAATAAAATCAAGGAAATTTTATGTTACAGGACTGAGCAGCTCCCCATGCTATACTACCGCCTATAATGCAGGGAGAAAAAAAAAATTGGACAGGTGTGGAAAATAAAAATACACTTCAAACTTTTACAAAATGAAACAATATTCCTGGTTTCTCCACTGTATTACAAAAGAACGAAATTTTCAGTTTCATTATCCTGTTAATTGAATTGGAGTAAGAAAGGCACATCTGAATGAATAGTCACAGTGGCATGGAATTAGGTCAAGTGGCCCACATTATATTGTCACAGGAGAGTCCCATTTTGTAAACGCAAAGTTGTTCAAATGAATGGAAATATTAACAATTCCTTCTCCACAGTCACTTATTACAGATTTCGACCCATAAAAGATCTTGCAAATTAACAAATAGCCTGTCTGAAATATCTCAATGAATTTTCTATGGAAATTTATGGAGAAGCAAAATAGGTTTTCCATTCATTCACAGCTTAGCTAAATTGTTGATCTCCCTGGGCAGCTGGTGACATTTAACGCTCTCACTGCTTATTTACAACTCCTGTAAAATGGTATTTAGAAAGTACTGGAATTTGCAAATGTTTTGTTGCCTCCGAAACAGGGTACATCAAAAAAATAAAAATATATAAAAAAAAAAAAAAAGAAAGAAATGCAAACATTAACATGGATGATATAAAAGGTGACATATTAAAAAATAGAATCTCAAGACACTACATTAGTTTAATTTTCAGTTGATAAAACAGATGTATTTTTTTTTTAAAGGGGGAAAAAAAATCATACAAAATTATAGTTTTCTACTTTAGGTACTTTTTTTCTGAGTGATTTACTTATTAAACTGGAGATATTTCACCTTGCAATAATTTCATCATTGTCTATGTATTTCTAATGATAAACATAATCAGTTGTGATATAACTTAAAACTAATCCCAAACGTTAATTTTCATATAGTTGCAAATATCAAATATTATTAGAATCATATATTTAAATCAAAGCCACCCTGGTTTGAGTAGGAGACCCCTCTCATACACAAGACACTAAATACTTAAAAAATTAACTTTAAAAGCGGCACTATCAGGCCAAACTTTCCTTTCTTTAATCGATTCCTCTTCTCTCCCTCTCTCAGGATCTGTTCTTCATTTCATCCTGTCTGCTCTAGTTTTCTTTAAAAATGAAGACAAAGTAGGGACTATTTGTCTTATGGAGGTTTCCTACGCTTGAAACTCCAATCCTATTCGTGCCGCGGCTGCATCTTGCATCCGCTTAGTAGATAACTCCCTAATTCCCATACTAATACTAAGTAAAGATTACTTGGGGGGGAGGGAACCTATTGTTCTCTGCCTCCGGCCCCCACCCCTGAGCGGCACGTGGGGGCACTAAATGAGAATGAGGGGAGGACCTATTGTCCTCCCCCCCAGCCCCCACACCTGAGCAGCAGGTTGGAGCCCTAAATAACAATGGGTGGGCGGGGGAAAACCTAATGTCTTCCCTCCTCGCCCCCACCCCTGAGCGCTGGGTGGGGGCCCTAAATAAGGGAGCTCTTGGAGGAGAGGTCTTCCCACTGGGAGCTGGATCCATTTGTTGGTCCAAGGTGGGAAGGAAAGGAGAGACCCCAGCCAAGCTGCGGCTAAGGGGGGCAACAGTGCTTATGGTGTCCGGTGCAGTGCTTATGGTACTTGGTGATACTACAAAACATGAAATGGCGGATGTACCCAGGCGGGTTACCAGGCGGTCCGCCACAAGGCCCATAGTCTGTGGGCAGGAGGCTAGCTGTTATGCCTCTCCAGCAGGCTGTGGCACGGGAGTTTCCATGACATACTCTAACTGAAAAATATATGCAGTGGATCATTTGATAGATTTCAACATAGTTTCTATGACTTTGTAATCCAAGCCTTTATGCCCCCCCCCCAAAAAAAAATCAAAAAAAAAATCAGTCTTTCAGAAGCCAGGCAGTCAATTGGAATGTTCTATAGGATGTACTGGAACCATCTTGACACCACAATCTTTATTGAAGAGAAAAACATTCAATGTGTCAGCTTCAAAAGGTCTGTAAACCAAGCCATCCATTATCCTGCCTTTTTGATTTGCATTATTTTTCATATAACGTGTTAAACTGTTTTTAAAGTTTTATTGCTATAAAGTTACCAGCAGCTATTCCCCAGTGTGCTGCTCAGGCTAATGAGGAAGCAATGGGTGGCTTTGATTGGCTGAGAATATCAGCTGACTGTTTTCAACCTATCACAGTGCCTATTGCAGGTATGAATTGGTACGGCAAGAAGAAAATGTGTAATCTCTTTCTTATCTACGGCTCCAGTGGGGGCAGAGTTATGGGAAGTTACGGATTTAAAACTGAATGGAGGGACAATGTCAGACGACTTCAGACACTAAAACCAATTAAAAGAGATGAAATTAATATGGTGTCCCTTTATCTGATAGAATAGCAGCATGTCAAACATTGTTCGAGCAAATGTTTGCTGAAGAAACCACAATATGAAAGCATTATTTCTGATTGACATATGCAAATGACAGAGCTTAAAACAATGACTGGCAGACAAAATAAAGCCTCTCAGTTGCAAGAAGAGATTTTAACTTATTTTATTAGTTCTGAGAAATGCTGAAATATCTAGTTAAAAATAAACAACAAAAAAAACCTCCAACAAATATACAGGATAATCATCTAGTAAAAGTGACCTTTAAATTTCATACAAGACAAGGAAATATGTCAAGTTGAAAGAAACATTTAATGTGCTTGGTAAATGGCTGTCAAAACCTTGTATAATAAAATGTGTTGTACGTTTCTGCAATGATGGGTAACATATACTGATGCCAACAGAAGGCTAACATTGTATTACAATTACATTGGTTCTTCACCTTTAAAGTGACCATGAGGGACACCAGTGTAGAAATTGCAATAGATCTTTGTACATATTACAAATTCTATTTTTTTTTTGCATCACATCTTCCATCAGACAACAGCTCACATGTTTGTTGTGTTTTCGCTATTTGACATACAATATCTACAGAATAAATTGTACTTTTATTCCCTGTGGACAATTTAAAAATGGTTAAATGGTGACACATATGACAAACATCACAGTCTAAAATTATGTTGCTCGGAACTGACAGCCAAATCTGGTTACTCATGTAACCATCAAACCTGTCACTACAGTTATTAGCTTAGTAGTGACAGGTGCATTAGAGGAGAAAAATCTTTGAGTTTGGCATGCTTTTTTCATCCACCTGGAAGTATCACAGACATCGCGTTAATTACATCTAATTTATTTACTTGCATAAATTACTTCCAATTTAGATCAAATTGGAAAGTTAATGTCTCTAAGTTTTTGTCAGTAAAACAAAAGTTATTTCTGCTTGAGCCTCCAATTTGTAATCTGGACGATATGTCAATGTATCAATGGGAAAATGTGTGTCTCCGTTTTACATTTTGGTCTCATGCAATTTATGTTTGGCTATCTAACTTGTAATAGAAGGAAAATGCATATGAAGTTCATTTATAATGAGCAGGAGGACTGGCTAATGAAGTCTACAAGCACTTTCAAAAAATTTAAATAATAATGTTTGTGAAGACATCCCGAGTTTATGAGAAACAATGTTTGGGGAGAAGCATACTGGACTAGAAGCACATCTGAAAAATTTTGAAGTTGGACCACAGACCCAGATAGCTGCAGAACTTGGTGGCTTAGATTGAGGCCAATCTGAGGCATGTTAAAAAATCTATAGAAAGTGGTTGTAAGGTGGGTGTTTAAAGATTAGGAAGATGAGAATAATGAGGTGGTTATACTGTGGCAGGTGGTTGGAGGGAGTGATTATAGGTGTGCATGAGTAATGGATAGTTTAATGCCTAGATCCAATTCTCAATAACAAGGTTAAGACTTATCGTTTAATAACTCATTAAAATAATGTGGTTAATAAAGAATGTGCAAGAAATTAGTATTTACAGAACAAAATTGTTAGGGGGGGGGAGTATTCCCCTCCAAAATATAAGAAAAAGAAATATGCAACAGACATAAAATTACAGATTATAGGTAATAAAGTATATACACAGAAAAAATCTTGGTCTAGATTAATATCCTTTTAGGAGGATTTTAGGTAATCTGGAATAAACTATAGCTGATATACAATCGATTGTCTCACTGCTGCTATAGTGTCAGATTGCCTATAATGATCCTAAATTGCTGTGTGCCAACTAGCTGAGAGTATAGGGAAATGAAGTCCCCACCAAAAGGTCTAACTAACCGTTCCATTGTGCAGTGCTACGGAATCTGATGGTGCTATATAAATAATAAAAATAATAATAAGAATAACAACTGCTTATAAATCTAAATACATGAAACAGAATTACTCTGGTACCTTAAAGCAACATTGTATGACAGAGTAAACTTTATCCAAGGAGGGAAAATCTTCACTAAACAGTGTTTTTCCTAAGCAGTCTACCAGCCAGTGAACACAATCAAAGTAATGGGTCTGCGAGGTGTAGGTATTTGCAGAACCAAGATATAAATACACAAGAGAAAAAGGTTAGTAGTCCATGCCAACAAGTAATTCTATGCTTTCGAGAGCACCTCACCTTATGTCAAGAAAGTCGCCAGTAATCAAGAAAACAATATTTGAGATGAATTCTAATGGAGACATAGATGAACATATTAAATGGACTCTCCAGGCAGAGTAGTTTACTCACCTGGTTCCTGCACGGGAGCCTCGTGAAGCCGCGCCCCCTATTTCGTTAAAAATGATGAAATAGGCGGAAGCGAGCAATCAGACGCTTCCATTTGGAAGCGTCATTGCTCCCTTGTGCGCATGCGTGGCTTCGCTGCACATGCGCACATACTTCATAAGGCCTCTGAAGTCCTGAGCTCACTACCGCTCATGCGCGTGGCCGTGAGCTGAGCTGCCTGACAGCTCAGCTTGCGGTCTTTGCCCGCCCCCTCTCCTCTGCTGACAGGCTGGAGAGAGAAGGCGTGCACATAGTGCCGTCTCTCTCCTGCACACAACAGACGTATCTTAATATGTCTGATGTGTACAAGGCCCTTTTAGGGCCCTAGATGATAGGAAGTCCCTCTGGTGGCAGTCTGAGTGACGGCCACTGGAGGTATTCCCATCAATCAATGTAAACACTGTATTTTCCCTGAAAATACAGTGTTTACATTAGATTGCCTGCAGGGAGCTATATATCTCACCTGAACAAATACATTAAGTTGTAGTTGAGGTGACTATAGTGTCCCTTTAACACAGTGAGAAGATCACAGTAAAATTTCCTCAAAACCAATGGTGATCACAAACAGATTGTTTAGAACATGTGTATCTGAAGGAGATAGCACATCTATTAAGAGCCCACAGAGACTGTCCTGCTTACTGTCAAGAAGCTTGAGAAGACCACAGCCCTTGTCACTGGTGAGAAAGAGTGGCCAAGCCAATCCTTACCACTGGGTATAGTGGTGGGTAAATATTTCTACCTGATGCTGCCATCTTCCTTCTTTAGCACCCGGTGCTTCATTTGCCAGGAGCACACGTCAATGCTGTACTCTCACGCATGCGCAAGAGTACAGGACTAGCAATATTTGAGGATCCCGTGGGATCCTCCATACAGGTTGTCTTACAATGAGCAATATAATACCACTAGCAACGGCTGGGTTAAGTAACAAAACTTGACAGAGGTAGCTCCGTCATTTGACATAAAGCAAAGCAGTTCCTACTTTGCCTTATGTATTTTAGGAGAAAGAATGTATTAGAATGGAGGAAGAGAAGAAGAAAAAATTGAAGCAAGGCAAGTTTAAAATGGAAGACCTGCTTTAAATAATTCTGCATGGTGTTGAGAACTATGAGTTGGGCATCCTTTAGAAATTTATTTGGTTGAGAAAAGTAGTAGAGTAGTGAAATGCCTAAAAGAGTTACTCCAACCACCACAACGACTACTTTTAGAAGTGACCATGGTGGTAGGAGTCTGTGCAGCATTTCAGCTTGAAACGGTCTATAAAAAAGCATTTTATTGGTCCGAGCGAAGCCCTAACTGGCATCAGTTGTTGGAGTGAAAGACAGCGCTGGGATCTTTACCAGGTAATTAAAACACTTTATTTTTGCAGGTTTTACTGAAGAATGTGAGGGGTGGGGAGTGTGTAAGAGGTGCAAATAGGGAAAAAAAATGTTTTCAATGGTTGAAATTACCGTTACTACTGTGTAGTATTTGCATTGTTGCAGCTAGTAAGGTTATCAGAAGAGTAAAGTGTGCTGTAGGAATATATCACTATTGATGCTACGTAGGTGGATTGACAATTGAGTAATTCAAGTTTTGTAGTGAAAGGGATCAGAGACTTCCCAAACAAGCAACACCATATAAGATGGATAGAGAGAACAGGGCTGCGACTATATTAACTAAATTGTGTATTCAGTATAGCCAAAAGTCTGTATAAAGTGTTTAAAGAATAGGGAGTGCTTAGTCAAAGAGCTGGAAGCAAGAAAGGATGTTAAAGGAAGCTATGGTAGAGGTTGGTTAATGATGACAGGAGTGTGGGTTATTTGGCCTATATTGGTTTCCAAACAGATCAACTGCAATTAAACCCACTTAGCCAATATTGTAAGGGAGACTGGGTGTTTCATCCTGTAGAAGCGGAAATTCAATAACTGTGGAATTTGGGAGATGGTATAGTAGACAAGTGTTGCCTAGTTTCCAGGTATGTTAATACTTACAATAAATTCATGAAAGTGATTTTAGATAAGGTATGAAAGGTTTTGGTTTACGCAAAAGGAGAGTGCGCAACAAAAGCATAATCTACACAAGTTCTGTAAACCTGTCTGTCACAGTTAGCCAGTCAATATTGTGTTTGGACTATATTACATTCCCTTATGTTACGAAAAGATAAGCTCCTAAATGTTTTCTGGAAGGGTTTATTATGTGCTAGTACAGACACATGCAGTTACTTCTAAGATATAGACTGTGCTGGTAAATATGTTCTTAAAGACTTTCGGTCACTGAAACCTCAACTGCCTTGATCTCCAGCATTTCTCCACCAAACTTTCCTTTTACCCACCTCAAATCTAACTTGGCCTAACTCTGCAACCTCACTCTACAACTCACCTCTCTCCTCTCAACTCGACATCATGACACCACCTACAAGTAAACGAAGCAAGCGCCCCCAATTACAACCTGGCACACCAAGCTTACCTCCAAAAATGTGTAGAACTGCTGAGCGCTGCTGGAGAAAGTCTCACTTTGCATCTGACTTCCTCCACTATAAATCTATGCTGCGCTCCTATAGCCTGGCTCTTTCCGCTGCAAAAGTAAATTACTTTAACACCCTCATAAGTACACTGTCCCATCAACCCAAACACCTATTTCACACTTTTGATGCCCTTCTTCGCCCTTTTACTCCCCCACCTTCTACCATCTTTTTCACCGCAAACTTTGCATCTCACGTCACTGATACGATCTCTACAATCAGAGAAGAGATCTTTAAATTTCTCTCCTTCTGCTACCAATACATCACCCAACCCCACTACCTCCACCATTCTACACTAATTTGCACCTGCTACAGCAGAAGAGGTTTCTGCTCCAGTCCTCCCGCCCCACCACCTGTTCCCGTGATCCTATCCCGTCATATCTCATCCGCACTTGTCTCCCTCTCACTAATATTTTCAATCTCTCCCTTTCCTCTGGCACATTTCCCTCACCCTTCAAACATGCAACTGTAACCCCAATTCTAAAAAAGCCCAGCCTTGCCCCCAACTCCCCATCCAACTACCGCCCTATATCGCTACTGCCATTTGCCTCCAAGATCCTCAAGAGAGTTGTGTATACCAGACTGACTTCAGTCTGGATTCCGCGCTGGTCATTCTGTCGAAATGGCTGTGACCAAAGTATTCAACGATTTAATTGCTGCTAAATCTCGTGGCCATTACTCTATCCTAATTCTCCTTGATCTTTCTGCTGCCTTTGACACTGTTGATCAACCGCTTCTCCGCATTCTCCATAATTTTGGTCTACGGGATACTGCTTTCTCCTGGTGCTCCTCCTTCCTCTCCCAGCGCTCTTTCAGTGTTTCTTTCTCTGACTCTGCTTCTTCCCTCCAACCACTCTCTGTCAGGGTCCCCCAAGCTTCTGTTCTCTGGTGCCCTACTGTTCTCTCTCTATACTGCCTCCCTTGGTAAACTCATCAGCTCCTTTGGCTTCCGTTATCATTTCTATGTACATGACACGCAAATCTACCTGTCCTCTCCTGATCTATCTCCGTCCATTTTGACTCGTGTCTCTGACTGCCTCTCTGCGATTTCCAACTGGATGGCTGCTCACTTCTTTAAACTCAACCTGTCCAAAACAGAACTTATGGTCTTTCCTCCCTCAAGTGTTACTACGTCAGTGTCTGTCTCCCTCCAAGTCAACGGCGCTACCATTACCTCGCAGGCTTGCTGCCTGGGTGTTCTTTTTGACTCCAACCTCTCCTTCTCCCCTCATGTCCAATCAGTTGCCAAATCCTGTCGCTCCCATCTCAAAAACATAGTGCACATCCGCCCCTATTTAACACCAGATTCGGCTAAGGTGCAGGTCCATGCTGTTGTACACTCTCGCCTTGACTACTGCAATCCCCTTCTCAGTGGTCTTACGTGTTCCCAGATTGCATCGCTGCAATCTATAAATAATGCGGCGGCGAGGCTCATTTTCCTGACCGCTCGCACCTCCCCGCTCTGTCAGTCCCTGCATTGGCTTTCAGTTAGATATAGGGCTCAATTTAAAATTCTGTTGCTTGCTTATAAGTCCCTACATAATGCTGCTCCAACCCACCTAATACACAAGTATGCCCCTTTGAGGCCCCTACGCTCTGCCAAAGACCTACGTCTATCCTCTGTCTGTACTCCCACCTCTAATGCTCGCCTCCAAGATTTCTCCAGGGCTGCACCTCTTCTGTGGAACTCCCTTCTCTTTTCTGTTAGACTTTCACCCAGTCTCCACTCATTCAAAAAATCATTGAAAACTCACTTCTTCAAGAAAGTGGTTAGCAGGTTTTTATCCCCCACCCTCCATGACTCCTCTCCTGCAACTGTCAAAATTACCTACTAAGCCCTCAGTGAATACTTTTGTAACAACCTACTTCATACTGCTACTTTTACCCTTTGTGTCACTATACCCCACTCCCTCTAGAAAGTAAGCTCATTGAGCAGAGCCCTCCACCCCTGTTGTTCATGTAAGTCCAGTTGTCTGGTTACAATTACATATCTGTTAGTCCACCCATTGTACAACGCTACAGAATCTGATGGAGCTATATAAATAATAACTGTATAAACTCACCTGCTGTAGTAGTTATGGCGTCAGAAGTGGCCTGGCGTTATCCCAGTGTAATCTGCAAAGCCATTGTAGCATTGTTTGCTACATATTTAAATCCCACTGGGTACCATCGGCTTCCAGTCTCCTCATAGCTAGCAAGAGCAGATGATAATCTTATTTAGTACAGCTACTCATTCATTGGCTGAGATCACTTAGCTAACTGTCTCAGGAAATGAATGAATGCCTACACCGTCATCTAGCTTCTCCTGGTCAAGAAGGATGAAAGCAGCAGGACACCAAATATACAATTTCTTATTGGGGAGCACTGAATATGGTTGCATCATCAGGTGTGTGATGATGCTGAATGTGAAGAACTTTGAAAATCCAAGATTTTCAGTGAGAAATCTCTTCTAGAGGTGTCGTTTGGCAAAAAACAAAAAAACAAAAAAAAAACACTGCCGTCTCTTTGGAGTTTTCCATTGCCAGACAAAAGTGACTTCATTCTGGTAAAGTGGTTATGGTGCCTATAATGGCCCTACAACAGAACATCAAGTTTTAGACATGCATTTTATAGGCTTTTTAAAAAGTGGCTAAATTATAACAATCCAATCAAAAACAGCAATTTTCTTTCCTAGCCACTTAACATAATATATATATACATACACACACACACACACACTTCAGATAATAACAAAATATGTATCTGAAAACTTGTTTGGCCACATGGACAAAACATAAAAACAGCACATTACAAAAAGTGGTCCATATAGACAGAGCGGGGCCACAATGCCCATACAGACACGTGCTATACCTTCTCGCTTAGCAGCTGGCTTCATAGTAACCATGTGGCCGGCAGCCCGGTGTCCCTGTATGATAACACGGGTCCCCCTGCATTACTTTACATGATCCCCACCTAGCAGACACTCACTACCTAAATCTCAATTTCCTCCTACTCACAAACAGCCACTGGGGAGTGTTCAAGGCCACCAATCAGCTCCCTCTTACAGAGTCCCATGGTTGAGAACTGCACCCAATGGCAGAAAAGTCCTCCGATAAGACGACCTTCCTTTAATGGCAGTCTAAACTGGACGTACAATATTTGCGCATGCGCAGAAGCTCCAGCCCGCGCATGCGCTTATTGTTCGAATCTTAAAGCAGTGAGAGCGTTTTAGCAAGCTTCTGACAGCTGCTGCCTGGAACCGTATTGGGAATGTGTGGAGCATGCTAGGCAGCATGCAATCTAACATACATGCATGGGACGATCCGAGGGCTCACTACTGAACTTCTAACCAACCAGCCAAACTGCCCCGAACTTTACACATCAGTCCTTATTATTCCAGTTGGGACGTTCTAAATTAATAATGCATTAGAATGTCAGCCTTGAGGAAGGTAAGGCGCATTTTGTTGAATTAAATAAAGTGTACTCCACATTATATCACATAATTGTACTCACTATTTTTATTTCTCCAAGAAAAAGGTGTTTTTATTCCCCGTAGTTATTGTGCAATAATATGTATCTGTGTATTACATATAGTATCAATTAGCTGGCATTAGATAATTAACTTGTCTTTCTACAAAAACATGCGTGTGACTCTTGCATAATGTAGTGAACATTATAATAATGATGTTTTATCTTAATGGGTTCTGGCTGTTAATAGATTTGGCAGCCCGGTTTTGATGAGGTATAAATAGTCCAGACCTATGTCCGATATACAGGATAAATAGTCTTCAGACTTCAACTCCCAACATCCTAAGGTAGTCCGGCTGTGTCAGTTTTAGTCAAGAACTATTTATGAGCTCCTGTCCTTGGTCCACTGTCAGTATGCATGTGAAAGGTTTATAATAAAGAAATATAAAACAGAGAATAAGACAAACCTATCTATAATCAGCAGAAAAACACAACCTATTTAATATGTCACTTAGCCAATTGCATAACCTAGTAAAATAAGACAGATGTTTAGGACTTGCATTGCAGTAAATGATCATTTCCCTGTGTACCCAATCTAGTATGTTGTAAGAATCGTTTCTAATATACAATACAGGACAATCTGTATATTCAATGATCACTGTGATTGCTAGTGAGTGCATATAAGGGTAAATGGAACTGGGTAGCACAGAAATACATTTTCTTGCCAAGTCAACTGAAAATCTCTGGTTCTAAAATAGCTACAGCTGTAATTTCCCTTCATTTATTTAACCGACAGGGTAGTTGTACAATTATATGTTATTGTTACTGCTGGTAGCATAACCTAATTTCACCTTGCTTATCTTGTAGCAGTGATTTTACGGTTACAGCGCTGATATTAATTGCAATTTTACGGTTAATGCGAGAATTCATTATAAAAAAGGTGCTTGGTAATGATGATACTTATACTTTTTTTTTTCTATATATGACATTTCTGCTTAACATTTGAAAATCCATGTTCACTGCTCTGGGGTAAGCTGGTGATTGTTGGCAGCAAATGGGTACTTTTGCCCTTCATCACCAATCATCACTCAAGCACTTTTGAAACCTGAAACATATTACAGGTTATGGTATGAAACTTCTCCAACTGTAGCAATTAGCAGGGACATTCCATCGGTTTCCATGGTAACTGCTTCACTTTTAGAAGTTTGTACCAGAATCGTCCTATCCACACAACTCAGCTGATGGATAGATATCATGACATAGGAAGAATTGGTGTGCCAGGACTTCTGTTCGTTTTTAAGTACTATAATACTTAAAAAGTTAATAACAGTAAATTAGCTAAATCCCTTCACCCATCGTCCGCCTATGAGTGTTTGGATAACCCAGTGGACTGTGAGCAGACAAGGAACTGTCCGTGGTGCTGAACACGTGGCAGGAGTTCCCCAGCGCATCAGTCAGGATGCAGGGCTGATCAGGCGAAGCTGTGTGAATACGATTGACATTGTATGGATAGGGAACATTGTGTGAATGAGTCACTTTCACAAAGACCAGCTGAACTCCCTCCTCTGTCATTTGGGCTAAAATAAAACCCCTTTCCACCCCCATCTCACAGGTGCCTATGTGGAAGGAACATAAAAAAATCGGAGGGATAATACAAGTGTCTGAGGGGGAGGCAAATGTGCCAGATGAATGTTTGGTGGGAGGTAGGCAGTGACTGGTAACAATTTCTTTAAACTCGTTATCCTTTAGCTCCCAAATACATATTATTTATGTTGACAAATGCCTTTTGATTTGGGAAGTGGACTGCAATGCTGCACATAAATTATTTTGTTTTCCAGTGGGTCATTTTCTTAAAAAATAAATAAATATATATATATTTACATTTTGTAATTAACTAAAATGTAGTAGGTTATATTATTAGCCTGAGCTGTGAAAGTTGTGTTATTCTTCCAGCCAGAATAGTCTAATAGAAAAGGAATATAAGGCTTAATGATAAAGATCTGCATAAAAGTTGACATGACCAATGGCTCATCAGCTCTTCCTTAAATTTGTGTGTCATATGTAACTCAGGTGGTGCGTTTACCCATTCTACAGTGCTGAGAATATGATAATATTAATAAAGCATTATTTCTCCAATCTGTACTTCTTAGTCCATACATCAATTTCAGCTAGTATGCTGGCTTGGCTGCCATCCAACCTTCTGTATTTTGCAGAGGGTGCTGAGAACGCCTATGCAGCACACACTGTATTCATTAAATCACTCCACAAAAGAGACATAGTGCTTTTCTCTGAAATAGTTTGATGTGCAGATCTGATACATTATTGGTTTAAAATTCAAACTGTATGTGCAATGACTGAAAACAAAGCAGTCAGCATGGGTATTCCCTTTTTGTGTTTGTGTGCATGTATGTATGTATGTATACGTATATATATATATAAATAAATAAAATCACATAAAATTAGCCGGCTGGTTGGCTTGCTATTTTTGTCTTCCCTCAATATATTTAAAATGTGAAAACTAAAAAGAAGATGTTAGAAAAAATAAAAACACAGCAATTTAACCTATCAGTGCCTGTTAAATCAGTCTGAGAGATGAGAGAGAAAATAACAAAACGCCACTTTGGTAAAATGTGATAAAGACTTTATGCCAATATGTAATTTCTAGTCCATATACAAACTTACCAATGTCACTAATTAAAAGGAAAACTCTATGTTAGAAAATACATTAGATACTTGGGACTGCATTGACCATTATTGGTCTTTAGGAGCTTAATATTGTGTTCAGCAGAGAAGATGAAACCTCTAACCTCACCATAACTAATTCATTAAAAGACAGTTTAAGTCACCATTATTGAATTATATATACTCAGTAAAAGAGATCTCTCCAAAACTGTGTGTGTTTAGAGCTTATAAATAAGTTTAATCCGATTAACATTTGTCATTTATGTAATTATATTGCCATTGATAAAAAAAAGAAAAAGAAAAAAAGAAATCAATTTGTCATTTTCCAATGTTGGTTAAATTAATTAGTTCATTAAATAGTGCTCATGATTAAATCTAGATCAGTAAAATAGATATAAAAACTCTCTATCCATGGTTGTTTAGTGTTAAGATATCTGCATCCTAACTGTGGCTTTTCTAGTGACAGCCAGCATTAACATGTCTTCTAATACTTGGTCTGCATTTCTTTCAAACATACACTGCTGCTGTATTTATGGAGGTGAAAAGGCTATTTTAGTATTTATTAGGGATCGACTGATATTGATTTTTTAGAGCCGATATTGATGCCGATAATCTGTGAACTTTCATGCCGATAGCTGATAACTTACCGATATTCTGTACATTAAGCTATTTCTACACAAATCTACTGTTAACTGAACATGTTTATTGTTTTTATTTATTTTTTTAAATAATTTTTTAAAAGGGAAATGCACAAAATATACATGCCAGTCCGAATTTTTTATGTTTTCAATAATATATGTGTGTGTTGTTGATGCAGTTAGAGTATTTGATTAGTTAAGGCAGTGTGTGTTTGTGTAGTGGATGCAGTGGATGTTTGTGTAGTGCATGCCGTGTGTGTGTTTGTGTAGTGTTTGTGTAGTGGTTGCAGTGTGTTTTTTGTTTTGTGTTTATAATGAATGCAGAGTGTGTTTGTGTAGTGTGTATAGTGCATGCAGTGAGTGTTTGTATAGTGTGTATATAATGAACGCAGAGTGTGTCTGTTTGTGTAGTGTGTGTATAGTGAATGCAGTGTGTGTGTAGTGTTTGTAAAGTGAATGCAGAGTGTTTGTGTAGGGTGTGTGTATTTAATAAATGCAGTGTTTGTGTAGTGTGTGTATAGTGAATGCAGTGTGTGTATATAATGAATGCAGTGTGTGTGTGTGTTTGTGTAGTGTGTGTATAGTGAATGCAGTGTGTTTGTGTAGTGTGTTTATATAATGCAGTGTGTGTGTGTGATTGTGTAGGTATATAATGTGTGTAAAATAGGGGGGTTGCATTTTTATTTTAAATATTTTTTAAATATTTAATTTTTAAAAAAAAATTTAGTCCCCCATCCCTGCTTCTTACTTGGCCGGGGGGAGGTGGGGAGGGAGGATATAGCATTTCCTGGTGTTCCAGTGGCATGGACTGTACTTACTTACCTTCCCAGCAGCTACTCGCAAGATTTAGACAGGGGAGCTGAAGGGAGCTGCTGGGAAAGTAAGAGCTTGCTGTGGGTCCTCCAGGACCGCCGGGCTTGTCATGGGCCCGGTGGTCCTGGTCCGCATTATCGGCAATATCGGTATCTCTATAGGCCGATACCGATATTGCCGAAAATACAGAATATCGGCCGCTAATATCGGCCAGACCGATAATCAGTCAATCCCTAATATTTATGCTACCAAACCGGTGATGTGACAGTATACTCATTCCTGAACTTAGCATTTTTTTAATTGTTATTTAAAATAAAAGATTGCATGTATTACAACCTCTTTGTGTATTGCTTTGTAAAACATGCATAATAAATATCTATTTTCAATGTATCTTTAGGCTTACTCTATGAGTATCATTCTGTAGCCCTCTTTATTCAGAAGCACAACTTATCTGAGCAAAATGGTATAGGTAGTCACCAGTTAGTGTGTGCTCATGAATCACATACAATTGGGCTTCTCAGGAATA